TATACTAGCTGGAATATGTGCCCTTTGTCTACAGCTGGCACTCTTATGTCCTCTTTGTCCATATGCTTAGTACCCACTCACTGTTTTGTTTTTGTAACAGATGGAGGCCAAAGTAGTCATGGCCAAATTGCTGCAGAGGTTTGAATTCCAGCTGGTTCAGCCACAGAGCTTCAGGGTTCGGGATGCTGGCACCCTGAGGCCTTACGATGGTATAGACTGCAGACTGAAACTACGCCATCAGTATGACTGAATGTGCTACATCGCGAAATGCGTTTCAGAATTTCTGTGGGGCCGCATTGAAAGTGTGTTTGTGTGTGTGAAATTACTTTTAATCTCGATATATACCGATAGCAAAAGAAAAAATAATAAAAGAGTTCTGAAATCTATAGGCTTTATTTCAAAGACCCAGTCAAAGACCCAGTCTGGCACCCACAAACCCATGTGCATTTGCATGCACACAGGCTGGGAGCCTCAGTGCCAGGGGTCAGCAAACTTTTTCAGCAGGGGGCCAGTCCACTGTCCCTCAGACCTTGCGGGGGGCCGGACTATATTTTTTGGGGGGGCGAAATGAACAAATTCTTATGCCCCACAAATAACCCAGAGATGCATTTTAAATAAAAGGACATATTCTACTCATGTAAAAACATGTTGATTCCCGGACTGTCCGTGGACCGGATTTAGAAGGCGATTGGGCCGGATCCGGCCCCCAGGCCTTAGTTTGCCTACCCATGCTCAATGCCATGCCTCTGGAGGCTTCACCCAGTGCAAAAAACCTGGCCTGCCCCCCCAATAGCTATGACACTGACCTCCCCTTTGACATATATGAAGCAGCCACCATCACTTGTTTCAGATGTCTTGTAAAGATTTAGCTTTTTGCCCACACTTTCCTTTACCCATAAAAGCGGACTCTGTCTATGTGGTTTTTTGTTTTGTCTTGTTTTTATTTGCTCTTACTGGTTTTTATATATTGCTATTTTTGGGGGGTTTAGGTAGTATTTTTGTTTGCTTGTTTGTTTGTTTTTTAATACTGTATACTGTATCACGTAGAGATTTTTAAAATGTTATGCAGTTACTTTTAATTAAATGAAAAATGAAAAAAATGAAAACAATGGATAACGGTATGGTGTTGGTTACAGATAGGTAGCCATGTTGGTCTGCCATAGTCAAAACAAAGAAAATTCCTTCCAGTAGCACCTTAAAGACCAACTAAGTTAGTTCTTGGTATGAGCTTTCGTGTGCATGCACACTTCTTCAGATACATCTGATACTTCTTCAGATATATCTGAAGAAGTGTGCATGCACACGAAAGCTCATACCAAGAACTAACTTAGTTGGTCTTTAAGGTGCTACTGGAAGGAATTTTCTTTGTTTTGGGTATGGTGTTGGGTACTCTTTAAAAAGCAGTGAATGAAACGCAAAAGAAAGAAAAGGCAACTGTGGAAACACCCAGATCTATAATATTGGGCTGCAGCCAACGTTCTCTGTCCGCTAGTTCAAAGGGGCATTTGCAGTGCTGTGGAGGGCGGGGGGGGGGGTACTGGGAGAAATCAAGGAGTGCATATGTCAGTGTTCTCCCTTCTCACTGTACTCAAATGTCTCCCTCTTCCATTCCTCAGCTGCCTTAGGTGAGAGAGATAAAAGATGTGGAGCCCTCAAATATTTCATGGTAACTTCACGCAATGCATTTCACTTCTGGTGCCTTGCGTTGTCCTCAGCACGAAGTTCCCCGACTCGATGTAGTAATTTAGAAGAAATATTTCAAATGATAAGTGAATACCCGTATTGGTACAACTTCCATCAATGGAACCTTCTTTAACTGAACAAGCTAAGTGACAGGTTCTTTCTTAGGATTCTATTCATCTTCGTTTGTTGTAGACATCCATCTGTCTCAAGATGTCACTGAAGTGCAAGCCTCGGCAGTTTGTGTGGAGTTCCTGGGCTGCTCAGATGACCTCCCTCTTGGCCTCACTGGTGTGATCCAAAGGGAAGCAGAGCAATACGCTTGGCACCAGCTTGGCTGCAGGAGTTGCCAGGAAGGAGGTGTACAAGCTGCCACCCAACTGTCTTAAAGACTCCACTCTAGATTTGTGTTGGGTTTACTCATTGACCTTCTCCTCTCCCAAAGATATCCTGCAACACAGGAGAGGTTTGAGACCAGAGTTTTCCTTCTCCTAGATGGGCTACCTTCCCAGGTTGCCAAGCCCCATCTGCCCCTCATTTCCCTCTACAGCATGTGCAGAAACCACCTCCTTAACTGTTAGACCCACTGTTGGTCTCATCCTCTCAATCCGCCAGAGCCTCTCTTCACATGCAGGGGAAGTCCCTAACTCACCAAGGGTTTAAGGCCTATTGGCTACCCTCACCTGGTTTAGCTGTCCAGTTGAAGCTGTTCTGGGGTGTGGTTGCTGTCGCATGCCGACAGCTTCTAGAAGCCACAGGTGAGAGCCAAGTGCAAGGTGGAGACCAAAGGTGGACAAACTACCTCAGAAGGAGCACGATGTGTTCCCCATCAGAGGTACTGTCCCTCCCTTAACATGCCATGCAAAATACCCCAATATGTATTATGGCTTTTTAAACCATGCCAGAGATGAAAAGAACAAGGTTGAAATCAATAGGTCCAAGCTATTTATTAACTGCCCTGTGTATAGAAATTTAGAAAGGTGGTATACAAATTAAATGAAATGAAGGTCAGGAATGTGGTCCTCTTGCTGTTGGACTCCAACTCCCATATGCCCCAACCACTATGGCCACTGGTCACATATAATAGGAACTGCAATCTAACAACATCTAGAGATCCACTGACTCTCCATCTCTCCTGTATCCAATAATCAAGGCAGAAGTAAACCATACTTTATTCTGGAATCTGCAGTGAGTGCCCGGCGCTGCTCAGGAATTCGTAGAAACCAAAACGTATTTTGATTTTAAAATGGATAGTATAAATTGTGAGTTTGGGCCCTTCAGGCCCCAAATCAGGCAAAGTCACACCAAGGCCACGTTTCTGCCTGCCATCTTGATTCAAAATGGCACCCGGTGTCCAGGTGTCTGCAAAGACTGCTGCTCCCACCTTGGGAATCCTTGTGCCACGTTAGACAGAAGTATCTCAAGTGGAGGCTGAACTCATAGAGAACAGACAGACAAACCACTTTCCATAATAAATAGTAGATAAAAGTAACAACCATAGTAATACTGAACAAGTATGTCTGGGCTTAGCAATTCTGCACTGTGACTTCCCATCTTTATTTAAAGGCTGACTCCTTTTTGCTATTACTCTCAGCTGTGTTAAAAGAAGACTTGAAAGGTAACACCATATTGAATCACCAGAGTTTTCTTCATCCATGTTAGACAGCACACACCTATATTTGTAGCTGTATCCTATTGCAAACTTAGGGGATGGGGAAGAATGACTTTTATGCTCGACCTTTGAGCTGTATTATTCTAATTCTCAATTACTGTGATTGCCTTCCGTTGAGGTTGCAGTTGCACCTAGTTAATCATTTCTTAGTGACCCACCTTTGGACAGGAAAAGGGAATGAAGAAAACATAAGCGTTTTTATGGCATTTACTCCCACATGGGGTAGTGACAGCCATCAACGTGCATTGCTTTAAATGAGGACTAGGCAATATCATGGAGGATAAGGTCATCAGTGGCTGCTAGCCATTATGGCTATGTCCTACTTTTACTGTTGGAAGCATTATGCCTCGTTGGCTACCAGCTGCTGAGAGCCATAGATGGGAAGAGAGCTGTTGTGGTCAGATTCTGTTTGCGGGAATCCCATGGGCATCTGGTTGGCTCCTGCAAGACAGGATACAGGACTAGATGTGAATACTCAGTCCTCATTGGCTTGGTTGACACATTTTTCAACTTCAACTTTCTTTCTTTCTTTCTTTCTTTCTTTCTTTCTTTCTTTCTTTCTTTCTTTCTTTCTTCCTTTCCCCCCAGGAGGAAGAGGGTGGTGGTGCAGACTCCCCCCCTCTAAAAAAACACTCCAGTGTCTCCAAGAACCAATTCTTCTTCTAGCAGGGAAAGAAAGGGAGATTCCTGGTTGAGGATTTCCCCTCCTGCTTTGGGAGGTTGGGCTGGGGAGACAAGTTCCTTTGGACCTGCTCCCAAGCAAGGCAGACACTCAGGGCTGCTCTCACCCTTTCCTCACTGTCCTCCACACTCTCCTCCTCCTCCTCAGTTGGGGCTACTGCACATGGGGAGGCAGGGAAGGTGACTTAGATGATCAAAGGTCTGGAAGTCAAGCCTTATGAAGAACGGTTGAAGGAGCTGGGTATGTTTAGCCTGGAAAAGAGCAGACTGATAGGAGATACAATTGCCATCTTCAAATATCTCAAGGGCTGTCACATGGAAGAGGGGGAAAGCTTCTTTTCTCCTGCACTGAAGTAGGGTTGCTATGTCTTGAAGAGTAAGAAAGGGCACAGCCTGCCAACCCTGACAGTTGAAGAGCAAGAACGGGCACAGCCTGCCAACCCTGGCAGTTCCAGTTGGGCATGTTGGTCCCCCCCCAAAAAAAGACATGTCCAAAATTTCCCAGGTGTATGGCAACCCTACTCTGGAGGGTAGGACTTGAACCAATGGCTTCAAGTTACAAGAAAGGATATTTTGACTAAATATTCGGGGGGGAACTTTCTGACAGTAAGAGCTGTTCGGCAGTGGAAGAGTCTCCCTCCTTGGAGGTTTCTAAGCAGCGGTTGGATGGCCATCTGTCATGGATTCTTTAGCTGAGATTACTGCATTGCAGTGGGATTGGACTCAATGACCCTCAGGATCCCTTCCAATTCTACGATTCTATGTTCTGACTGGGTGCTTTGGCATTGTACCAACTCCTAAAATTAAATCCTTTGGTCTTCCAAATGGACCATCATTTGGTCCTTCTGACTCAATCTGATTGCAGGGACTGTACGTTTAAGTAAAGGTTCCTCCTACTGCATCCCAGCCTGGCTCCTCCCAAACTCAAAAGGGATTTATCGCCAAAGCAACAACTCCAGGACTCCAATCTCCAAGGCAGAGTCATTCAAACTTTGGAGGCTTGGCATTGCAGCTTTGTGGCTTGAGCTCCTGGCTGTCATGGATGCGCCAGAGGTGATCTGGGGCTTGCTGCGCATTTTGCTCGCGGTGGCCCTTCTGGCTTTTGGCCTTTATTGCTGCTACATAAAATCAATCCACATGAAGTATGATCATATCCCTGGCGCCCCAAGGGTGAGGTAAGAGGCTGGCAGGGTTGTGATACTTAATGGGAGATGCCACAGGGAGGGGGCTGCTAATTCTCTTGGACCTCCGAATCGTAATGTACAAATGTGTGTCTTGTGGCCAGACTTTGACAGGAGGAGGGGGCAGGGTTGGCAGGGCATTCCTGCACAGGAGGAAGGAGGTGGTGGTGGGCTTTTCGCCTCAGGTGGCAGAACTTCCTGACCCTGGTGTTGCTGGTTGTAGTATCTGGAATAATAATTTTAAAAATGAACAGGCATGCAAGTTTACGATGTCCCCTTTGTCGCAGTGGGATGGGTCATGGGCTGTTATTTCTGGGATGGGTAATGCATGTTCCTTGGAAATTGGTGTGAATGAATGAACTTTAATACGGTCACAGACCAGGATAAAAAACAACAACATATAAATAAAATAGCAGTTAGAATTTTTTTAACTGATAAATGTTGGAGCAAATAAGGACAAAGAAACAAGCATAGGATAAAACATCTGAATAAAATACAAGATTAAACACGGATAATGGATTGATAAAAACTGATAATTAAAACAGATAAGAACTAAAAACATGCAGTTAAAACAACTGTAAGAGCGTAAGAACTAAAAGACTTGCAGTTAAAACAACTATAAGAGGCTGCAGAGTAAAAGCCTCTGAAATGGAGGACACTCACAGCATTAGAAACTGATGTGCAAATATGGTTAAAACAGGCAATTAAAACAATGTACAACAATAAATTTAGAAACAATGTGCAACAATAAACTATCCCAGGGAGTTGACTCAGAGTCACCCATGGAACCGGGTTTGGGGATTTTCATGCCGGACTATTTTGAGTTGGGCGATGGTCTGCACCTACAGATTTGAACACAGAATCTGGCGACCATCCAGATCTTCTTCTTATCTTTGCCGAACAGCAAAAGGTCAAATTTTTGCTTTTGCGGGAGGTCGGCGAGCCCCGCCAGTATCAATGAACTTACTGCGTGCCTCTTCATAAAAGGGACATTTAAAGAACAAGTGTTCTGGGCTTCCTATCTCTCCCAGTGGACAGGTGCAAAGTCTCTGGGCATAGGGGACTTTACTAAAGGCTCCATCCAGGACCGGCGATGGAAGAGCCGAGCTTCTGGCGAGTGTAAAGGCCCTTCTTGCATTTCTAGATACGAGAAAGAAGAGGTATGCTGCCGGTGCGGCTATATATCTCTCAATTTCTCCAATTTTATAGTCGGGGCACTTTGCGCAGTCCTGTTGTCTCTCGGTATCTAATATTCTTTGCCTGACCGTGGCTTTTGCCTGGCCCAAGCCCAGACTTAGAAGGGCTTGAGGGGCAAAACCCAGTTTCTGGAGGGTGTTCAGAATTGCAGTCTGCCAGCCTGACTGGAATTGATCGCAGAGGATCAGTGGGGCTATCCCTCAGGGGGAGCAGATTCAATGTCAGCCATTTGTAAATTGATATTGAGCAAATGCTAGCCTCCACTCTCATCATCCCCGTTTCCAATCTAACCCATGCGTTTAAGACACATCTGGGGACTTGGAGGAGAGCTCTAAGAAGTCTGGATTGAACTCTCTCAAGGGGGGAGAAAGCAGAGAAAGGCGGACCCAAAAAGGAACCATACAGTAGTTGTGCCAAAGTTTTGGCCTTGTATAATTTTAGAGCTGCGGGGACGAAGAAGCCCCCTTGTGCACTGAAGAATTTAAGAATATAATTTGCGGTTTTTTCTGCTGAGCTCCCGATGGAGTTTATGTGTAGTTTGTTGGTTCCTGAGGCCTGTACCACCATTCCTAGATACTTGTAGTTTGTCACTTGTTCTAATTTATGGCCTTGGAGTTCCCAGTATGCTGCGAGCTTTCTTAGTGCTCTTTTGAGACCAATGGGGGTTCTAGATAGAATTACCACATCATCGGCATATAGCAGGACCGAAATATGCCGATTTGCAAGCTTCGGCGGGTGGAGTTCTGAGTCATTGAGTGCAGATACTAAGTTACTTAGATAGAAATTAAATAGTAGAGGGGCCAATAGGCACTCTTGCCAGACTCCTTTGAAGGTTTTAATAGGGTCTGTTAGGTGTCCTATGCGGCTGCACCTGACTCTAAGAGCCGTGTTTACGTGCAGTGCCTGAATTAGGAGCAGGAGCCTTGTATCTATATTGGTACCCTGTAGTCTGTCCCAGAGTCTGGTTCTGGAGACTGTATCAAAGGCTGCTTTTAGGTCAACGAAGGCAGCGTATAGTGAGGCCTGCCCTCCTGATTTGTATTTGTCGATGAGAAGTTGTAGCGTTAGGCAGTGATCTGTCGTGGACCTTCCAGGTCTGAAGCCCGCTTGTTCTATTGCCAGGATATCTTCATTCTCTAGCCATTCTGTAAACTTATTAAGGAGGTGCTTTGCGTAGAGTTTACTGATCACACTTAATAGGCTAATCGGCCTATAATTCGCTGGGTCCCCTCTGTTGCCCTTTTTATAGATTGGAACTATTATGGCTATTCCCCATTCCCTTGGGATGCGGCCAGTGTCATCTATGTAGGTGAAGAGGGTGGCTAAGAAAGGTGCCCACCAATCCGCCTGTGCTTTTATCATTTCTGGCGTAATGCTGTCTGAGCCTGGGGCTCTGGCCGTTTTCAGTTGGTTTGTATATGATTTCACTTCAGTTACTGAAATAGGCGGCCATTTAGCCAGTTTTCTATATTATAATTCCGTAGTGGAGGTTCAGTGTCCTCGTACAAAGATTGGAAGAATGAGACCCACAGGCTAGGGGGAATTTGTGAGGTTAAGGGGGAAATAGCTTTATGGGTGCCAGAAGTTACCAGTTTCCAGAATAGTGTCTGACCTTTTGCCGCACTAATTAATTCTAGCCAACATTTTCTGGTATAGGCATTCTTTTGGTGGAGTATTAGGTCTTTATACTCTTTTTTTTAGGGCACGGACAGCAAGATAGGCTTGATGTCTAACAGAATTTTCGGCTGTCAGGGCAGCTTTGTAAGCATTTTGCAGGGCTTTCTTTGCCTCAAAGCAGGTGTAATCAAACCAGGGTTTATTTGATGTTATTTGGCTTAGTTGGCCTTTTCTCTGTGGTATTAAAAAGATAGGGTTTCAATTGTTGGAGCAGGCTCTCATACTTGGAAACTGGGTCCTCAGGCCTAGGATTATTCCCAAAGCCAGTTAAAATTGTACGGAGTTTTTCAGAGGTTAGAATCTTCTTCAGTTTGGAATCAAGCGCAGGGGTCCATTTGACTCAGCAACCAGGTCGCTCTAATGCAGTGATCTCTGCAGGGTATACTGTTCTCAGGAAGGGTGACTCGTTTAACGGAGATACCTGGAGGTGCAAAGGGAAATGGTCCCCCTCTATGAATGGGAGGACTTTTAAATTCACTATTTTTGTTAGCAATTCGCTGTCCGCCAACATATAATCAATTGTGCTGGATCTTATCCCAGACACGAATGTATATTCCCCATGGATGTCGCCCCTGGTGCAACCATTTAGGATATGAAGACTTAGCTGCCTAGAGAGTTTGAGGAGGCGGAGGGGCCACTAGGGGCGCATCGGAAGATGGCTGACAATAACATCTCTCCGACCCACACGAGGTAATTAGGAGGCTGTGATGGGAGTAAATAGCCTCCCTATCCCCCCCCAAGATTGTGGGGGGGGCTGCCCTTGCCTGTTGTGCCCTATACCACCCCCGAATTTGTGGGGATGGGGGCACTAGGCACAATGCCCTCCTGTGGGATTTTGGCGCTCCTGGATGCCGGCTCTGATCCGCGCCACTAGCTGCAAGAACTTCAAAAGAAACGATTAGGATGAAGCGAATGCACATATTTCAAGGAAGGAGGGGGAGTAAAGACTGCTAACAGAAGAGATCTCTGATAAAACAAGACAAGTCGGAGGAACAAGAATAAATCATGAGAAGATATGCCAAGACTCGGTATGGCAAAGGGACTGGATGGGGGAGGGGAAGAAAAACTTTCCTTTCTTTCCTCTATGTGATTAAACAAGAATCCCCCCCCACAAGTCACAAGTTAGTAATGCCATTTAAATAACTTTAGCTGTGGATTTATGACTGTGTGGAGATAATTTACTAACCAAAGCATGTTTCAAGAAGACCGTGGAATTTATAAGAGTTTTGGAATGACGCAGTAAAAAATACCATCGCCATGTTGGCAAGTTCTGTCGGAGGACTTGAGTCTGGGAGGAGGAACAGAGCTGTTTTTATATTGTGGGTGACACTCCTCAGAGGGACTTAAGAGCGACAGATCTATGAGTTAATGATGGAAAGAGTGATGTTATTTATGAAAGCGATGATATATGGAAACCATCTGATATGAGGACTGGCCGAACGGAAAATTCACTCAGGATTATAATTGGTGTTGGTCAGCTTAAGGAGATTATCAGAAGAGATCATAAAGAAAAGAAGAAAAAATATACGAATAAGATGAGATGTGGAAACAGCAAGATAAGACTGGATAGAATTATGAACATTATTTGGACTGATTTGTGGACATTAACGCAGCAGCAAGAAGATGATCAGAATCCCCCTTCGGAACTTGAAATATGGGTCCCCTCAACAAAAATTTAAAATTCGGCTTTGTAATTCGGAATTTATATGATGTGATTTGATTTGATTTGATTTGATTGGTTGGTTAATAAAAATTATTTTTTTTAAAAAAAAAGAGTTTGAGGAGACAGGCTCCAGCAAAATTTGAATGTTGATCCTTTGACTGCCTTGGTAGTTGTAAAGCCTCCAGGCCAAAGTCATCAGGGTACCCTATTTTTTGCCTGTATTTGGTTTCTAAACGGGGGTCATCAGGACCTAACCTTGCATTTAGGTCACCCACCAGCAGGACCTTTGCTCCCGGATAGTTTGTTATCAGTAACCTGACATAAGAGTCCAGTCTATTCCAGATGCCCTCAATATCGTTTGTTTGTTTTTTTGCTTGTTGGGGGGATATAAGCATTGATAACTAGTAAACTGCAGTTTCCCCAGGATATGAGTAGGGCCATTGCTAGGTGGTCTAGGGGGGACAGTTCCTTACAGGTGGCGTTTAGGCAGAATGAGATTAGGATGCATAATCCCCCCTTGAGCCTCCCTGGTCCTCTGCCTGCAACCGCTCCCACTGCATATGTATAGTATCCTTCCAATGATGGGTTTTCAGCCGCCCACGTCTCTTGGAGAGCGATGATGTTAAAGTTTTGACGGTAGAAGGGAATGTCTGTAGAGTGGGAGAGGCAGCTGGACCAGCCGGCAACATTCCAGGAGATGATGTTTAGGGCAGCAGCTGATTCTTGGGTTTTTAGATTCCAGGCACTCATAGTTGTTTTCTGCTGCTGATTCCTCAGGTCCTTTGAATTTGGCTTGATTGAGCCACGATGCGGAGGAATGGGGGAGCCTTTTGAGGGAAAGACTAATTTGGGGGTATTAATTTGTCCGTCCAGGCAGTCACCCGCTAAGACCTTATTTCATTCCTCTGCATGAATAGCTTCTAGGATTCCCAGGCAATCCATGAAGATTGAGCCGATACCCGGCGCTGGCACCACTAGTTCAACTTGTTGCGTTTTGGATTGGGCTATTGGAGGGGGTGCAGGAGAGCCCGTTTCTTCTGGAGACAGATATCGACAAGTTGTCCATTCCTCGTTGGTTAAAGGCTTTGATTTGCAATTGATGTAATTAAATTCCATGGGAGGAGGCGGGGCTAGAGGTGGCAGGGACTTCCTTATGGTCGAAAGTCTTTCAATGGCGTGTCGAGGTCCCCAATACACCCCAAAGGAAAACACAATTGACACTTAATTTTTGTTAAAAAATTTGGCATAATTTTGGCCAGAACTTTATTCAAATACAGCAATGTGAGTGGTTGCTTAGGCATTGGTAGCACTAACTGCCCCCGCACGGGGACAGCTCTGACATTCGCACCCCCCGCGAAGTCAGGAAGGGTAAGTCACCTGGGGGGAGAGACGGGACTGGGAACCATGCCTCACCTCTCCCCAGAATGCTCCCAGGGGCTTGCGTGGCCCTAGCCCCTTGCCAGGGGGTTTCGGACAAAAGCATGGCGAGCCCCTAGGTTCCTTTAACGGTAAAACCCTTCAGCAGCAGCAGCAGCATTTTGGAGGGGCAGGCACAGCCGAATCCATACCCCTCCACCAGCAGCAGCATTTTGGGGGGCAGGCACAGCCAAATCCATACCCCTCCAAAAACCAATTCCAGACCAATGCCTAACCGCAAACCTTACAAGTTGTGACGATTTGCTACGCGGTAGGCGAAAACCAAGTGGCACACACTAATCAGCCAAATGGCAAAATCCCTACCAGGCCCCTGCCCCAAAGCAGATGACCCCATGACAGGCAATAGCAAGGTCAAGCAAACAGCCTAACATTAGGGAAGGGAGGGCAGGTGATCCGAAGCACGCAGCGAAAGAGGACGTCCGTTGCTGCGTGCCTTGTATTTAACAAATAGGGCTGTCAATCACTAAATGGCAACATCTAAATTTCCCCAGTAACAGCCCACCCCTGCTTACGAGTTGGCCAAACCATCTGCCCAGAAACAGCAAGGTATCTTGGAATCCCCAACCGCAACACGTGCTCTCCGTGATGGAGAACAAACACGCTTTAGTGCATCCTGGGAAAGTAGGATCTGCTCGAGGTAGGTTGTTAGGAGTTGTTCATCCTTTGAGGAGAAATCCTTTTCTAGCTTATTTGGTGAGGGCAGGGTTTTGTACAGCCTGCCAGATTGTTTAAGATTGCCAGCCTCTGGGTAGAGCAGCTTACCGTTTCCGGAGCTGTTGGATTCTGCAGTGCTGATTTTGGTTTTTGTTCTGGCTGGCCTATGTGCTCCTGAGAAGTGCTCAGAGTGCTTTATTGGCATGCACGAGTTTGTGATTTTCTTTTGGGTTGTAGGAGCAGAGTTCTTTGTTGTTGTATTCTCCAGCATCTTAAAGAGCTTCTGGAAATTCATTTTTTTAGTCCGGCAGGTGGGCGTTCCCTTTTAGCCTCTCAATTTGATGTTTTTGGTCTTCTTTATTTTTTGTGCTAAGCATTTTCTCTTTAAGGTCGGTTTCTTGGGAGCAAGGGACCCTCCCTCCTGCACTGAATTGTTTCTGTTTGTTTTTTTGTAACCGAGTCCTGACTTGGTTTCACCTCCATTAGTCCTAGTCCCAGATGTCATGTGAGGGAAAGCGACCTCATGGTTCTTAATCAATTCAGTTAGGATGGTAAGCAGGTTCAAGCTTTCCGAAAGGAAATTTTAAATTGGCTCAAGTTCTTTGCTTATCTGTGTGAAATGAGTTTTGAGTAACTCTTCGAACATCCCTGAGAAGTAGAAGATAAGGTTGTCCGGGTACTGTACCCTTAAGCTGTTTGGCCATTTGTGTGTCTCAGTCGGCTCAGGGCACCTTAAATTCTCCCCTGATAGGGAGGGGAGGCTCATTTGACATGGCTTCTAGGTTTTCCAGGAATAGCTCCTGTTCTAAACTTGCTTCAGGTCCCTCTTTGGCTAGCTCAGCTTGTTTTAGTTCTGTTGCCAGGTCCACTCCCTCACCTCCGACGTTAGTTTTTTCCTCCCTTCCAATCCAGATGTGGTCAATAGACCACTCATGAGAATGGAGGTTTCCTGGATTATTTGCTTCATCAGCCTTGGGATGGAAGTAGGTTGAAATTTTGGCCTGTTTTTTCTTTGTGGGAGTTGTCACAGGTTGTAAAGGTGAAATCCCCAGTTCTTTGCCACATTGTCTTGTAAGTACCATCTTCGTACTCAGAAATAAATGGGGCTATTTTATCCAACCCACAGCTTTATGGGCTTTTCAAGGGAGGTGGTTCAAAGTTGATTTAAGTAGCTTTAAAAGGGACGGGAGGTTTAAAAGTCAACCCGACAGCTCCCAGAGTCTTTAACTGATAAAAGTTGGCAGATATTTTCATAGGTTGAGCCTTTTTATCAGGGTAATTTGATCATTAGAGCTCCTACTCAGCAGCGAGTCAGTTGAGGCTTGATCCGGCGCCATCTTCCCCCCACCAATTGGTGTGTGAAATCACATAGGCACTCCTGATTTGATTTCAATGCAAAATACTGTACGATGTTCTTCATATAGTTTCATAACATCCTGTTTCTTTTTTAAAAAAAATATATTGCAGCTTTTTTCTTGGACATGGGCCACTCATTTGGAAAATGGTTAAAAACCAAGAGCCATTGGGGGATCTCTTTCTGCAGTGGTAAGTTACTTTCAGTTTTTCAGAGAGCTTGGTATAAGAGGCTATGTACAGGGGTCAGCAACCTTTTTCAGCCGTGTGCCGGACTATATTTTGGGGGGGGGGGGAATGAACGAATTCCTATGCCCCACAATTAACCCAGAGATGCATTTTAAATAAAAGCACACATTCTACTCATGTAAAAACACGCTGATTCCCGGACCGTCCATGGGCTGGATTGAGAAGGTGAGTGGGCTGCATCTGGCCCCTGGGCCTTAGGTTGCCTACCCCTGGGCTATGAGCTTCAATGCAAATTCAAACCGGATGTCAGGGGCTCAGGAGCAGAGGCACAGGAAAGGGAGGAGATAGAGACCGAGGGGGAGGAATCCGAGGGAGATGTCAGCGATGACAGCCGTCCGAGGTCTCTGAGTCTCTCCAGCGAATCGGAGGATTCACAGAAAGGGGCTCCCGTGGTCAGAGCAAGGGGGTTGCCAAGGGGAACACCCCAGGAAGGAGGGGCCAGAGGGGACTCAGAGAGCAGCAGTTGGAAATCGGGACCAGCTTCCCCACCAAAGAGCAGTAGGGGGGAGGAGTCCCAGGTATCGGCATCAGGCAGCTCTCCGTCAGCAGAAGGACATGAGTCAGGATTGGCCACGCCTGCATCAGAGAGCGAAGAAACGGTCGAAAGGAAGGTCAAAGACAGGGCGCGCGCGCCAAGTTCAAACCTACAAGAGAGTGGCGCAGTGAGCAGCCCGGATAGGGAGCCAGGTCCTAAAGCCCGCCGAAGGGAGGGGGAAGAGTCAGAGGGGTCCGCGTCCGAAGCGTCCAGGAAGGAAGGGATCCCGGGGGGTAGTAGGACCCAGAGGCGGAAGGAGAGACGGAAGAGGTGGAGTAAGGCTAGAGTCTTAAGCTGGTGTACAGGGGGCGGAGATTCAGACGGAGCTTCGCCGGTCTAGTGTCTAGACGTAGAGACGCACGCTAGGGTTTGAAAATGGATAATGTACTTAAATAAAGACTTTTGTATATTACCGCTGGCTAGCGTTGGTCCTCTGTGAGCTGGGACCTGGAGGCAGTCTCTGACAGTAAGCTCCGTCTCCATTTTCATCAGTTTTCTTCACCGAAGGCGTCGCTGCGTGAGTATACGCAGCGCGGGAAGAAGACTGGTGCCTCGCGAGCTCACAAGAGTCAGGCGAAATGACTACCGAACAGCAAATAGCTGCCTTGCAAAATGCGGTGACACAACTCAACGCGGAGATAATCGCATCCAGGAAGAGAGAAGACGAAGCGGCTGCTGCCTGCAGAGATCTCCAAGCCAGGTTGGAAGTGCTTACGAAGCAGGGGCAACCGGGACCCAGATCAGAGGGGATTGGGCTGGGGAAGAGAGGAGGCAGCCTTGTATCTCATTTCGATGGGAATTTGCAGCAGTACCCCAACTTCCGAGCAGACGTGCGGTTTGCGCTGCAACTGCTGGATAAAGACTTTAGAGATGAGCAAGAGAAGGTGGGGTTTATCTTGTCTCATTTGCATGGAGACGCGAAAGCGTGGCTGCGCAATCTGTGGAGAGATAAGGATCCAGCGCTCCGAAGTGCAGATGCATTCATTAAAGCGATGGATTCCTGTTTCTTATCCAACATTGACGTTGATATTGCCCGGAAGGACATACATGGGCTGAAACAAGGGAAAGCCAGTGTGAGGCAGTATCATTCCCGCTTTTTTGCATTAGTCAACGCGCTGGGGTGGGATAAAGATTCGGCGCCAGTTAGAGACCTTTTTTGGGAAGGATTGAACCCAAATGTCAAGGATGAAATTGCAAGGGGGGAGAGACCCACAAGCACTCAGGAAGTCGTTCAGAGAGCGCTAACGGCTGGGGTGCGGCTGGAAGAACGCCCATGGGGCAAAGAAGAAGGGCGTTGGGGACGCACGCCAGCGAGAGTGCCCGCCCTCTTGCCCAGGGATGCAGTGCGTGCGCAATCCACGCCTCCGCAGGGAGGAGGGGAAGAGCCGATGGAGATTGGCGGTGCTAGGGCTCAATCAGCTACCAGAGCCTTAACACCGGGAGCAGTCAAAGCGAAGCCGCCTAGAGGAAACAGGAAGTGTTACGTCTGCGACAGTGGTCAGCACATGGCGAAAGAGTGTCCCCAGAGGCTCCACAAGCACACTGCAGCCTCCGCAACAGTAACGGAAGCAACTCAGCAGAGAGAACCACAGCAGGGAAACGACAGAGTCTGGCTGGAAACGGAGGCACTGGGGCCCAGCCAGACGAGTCAGTGAAGAAGTCCCCAGAGATTCTGCAGCCCACAGACCCCCTCCCACCCAAACCAGTGGTGCAGCTCACAGCATCGCTCCAGCTACCCAATGGACTCACAATGGAAGTGCCTATTACTATTGACTCTGGCAGTAACGCAGACTTTATAGGACTGGAGTTCATTCAACAACACAATATAGCGCTACTGCCAGCCACGCTGCCCCTGAAGGTTGTCACGGTGGATGGCAGGGAACTGCTGGGGGGGCAGGTGGTACAGCAGACGCCGCCGATGGTGATGCAAATTGGGAATCACCGGGAAGTCATCAGCTTCAATGTCACCCAATTGTCGGACACGCCTGTAGTATTGGGCATGAGTTGGCTGTACAGGCACAGTCCAGCATTGGCTTGGTACCAACGCCAACTGACTTTCGGCTCCTCCTACTGTGCGGAACATTGCATTATACCTAGCACAGAAGGGGAAGAGGATGACCCGCAGTTACACTTGGGCACGCTGCAAGCAGTGCCACTCAAGTACGCGGAGTTTTTGGAGGTTTTCTGCGAGAAGGAAGCGGACAAGCTACCTCCTCACAGGTCCTATGACTGCAAGATTGACCTCCTGCCGGGGGCGACGCTGCCAACCGGGAAACTGTATTCCATGTCTGAAGACGAACTGCAGGAACTCAGGGAGTTCATAGATCTCAATTTGAAGCGCGGTTTCATCCGGGAGTCGAAAGCAGTGGGGGGCAGTCCCGTATTCTTTGTAAAGAAAAAGGACACGCCCCAAAAAAGACTTGTGGTGGACTATAGAATTTTGAACTCGAAGACCAGGCCCTCAGCCTTCCCCATGCCCAGGATTGACGACCTGCTCGCGACGGTGAGGAAAGGACGCGTTTTCACCAAGTTAGATCTGCGAGGGGCGTACAACCTGATTCGTGTACGGGAAGGCGACGAGTGGAAGACGGCCATGTTCACGCCACTGGGCACCTATGAATACAGAGTTATGCCCTTCGGATTACAAAATGGCTCGCACTGTTTTCAAGCTTTATGCATCATGTGTTGGCGGGACTCCTCTACAAGAAGTGCGTCTGCTTCCTGGACGACATCCTGATATTTTCAGCATCGCGGGAGGATCACGAGAGGGATGTCAGGGAAGTTCTACAGAGACTGCAGGAGCACAGACTGTACGCCAAACTGGAGAAGTGCCAGTTCGATATGACGGAGGTGGATTTCCTGGGCTACAAATTGTCGGACAAGGGGCTCGCCATGGACAGCGCCAAGGTTCGCTCAGTATTAGACTGGAAAAGCCCACGCAATCGGAAGGAAGTCCAGCGGTTTGTCGGTTTTGCCAACTTCTACCGCAAGTTCATCAAGGGGTTCGCTATGCAGACGGCGGCCATCACCGACACGCTCAGCTCCAAGAAGAAGAAATTCATCTGGACGGAGCAAGCGGAGCAGTCCTTTCAGAAACTCAAGCGTCTCTTCGCGTCCGAAGAGCAGCTACTGCATGTGAATCCCAGCAGACCGATGAGGGTTGAGACAGACGCCTCAGACAGGGCCGTGGGAGCTGTCCTGTTGCAACAGGACCCGCAGGGGGACTGGAGACCGTGCGCCTTCTACTCCAGGAAGCTCAGCAAGTCAGAGCAGAACTACACCATCTGGGACAGGGAGTTGCTAGCTATTCATGCAGCGTTCAAGGCATGGCGGCACTTCCTTATCGGAGCCAAACACACAGTGCAGGTCCGCACGGACCACAAGAATCTGGAGTACTGGCGCACGGCAAGGTTCCTGAACCAGAGGCACATTAGATGGGCAGAGTTCTTCGCGGACTTCGACTTCAGGATAGAGTACATCCCAGGCGACAACAATGTCATGGCGGATGCTCTGTCCAGGAAGCCGCAATATCTCGAGGAGGCGGCACCGTCGGCGGCCAAGCACATTTTCGCTCCGGAAGCGTGGGCGTGCGCCTCGGCAACCGTGGACCTGGATGCCGTACGTCGCGCACTGCAGGAGGATCCTTTTGCACAAGCCAAGATGGAGGAGGTGCACAAGGGCAAGGCGAAGGACGACGAGTTCCAGATACGCGACGGGTTACTCATCCGCAAGGGGGCACTCTACGTGCCAGGAGACGACCTCCGCGCAAGGGTACTGCAGCAGCTACACGACGCTCCCACCGCCGGGCACTTTGGCAAAGAGAAGACTGTAGAATTAGTAGCCAGAGATTTTTGGTGGCCCAAGATGCGGGGGGAAGTCGCGGATTACGTCTCGAGGTGCGACACCTGCCAGAGGGCCAAGTCAGTGCACAAACCGCCGGCGGGACTGTTGGAACCGTTGCAGACACCGATCGAACCGTGGGAGAGGGTGGCCCTGGACTTTGTCACGGATCTGCCCAGCTCGAGGGGCAAGACAGCAGTGCTTGTGGTGGTGGACATGTTCACCAAAATGGCACACTTCATTCCGTGCGCGAAGGTGGCCACGGCCGAACAGACCGCCAAACTGTTCATAGACCACGTGTTCAGGGTGCACGGTCTACCACGTTCCATCCTGTCCGACCGGGGGCGACAGTTCATCTCGAACTTCTGGCAGAAGCTGATGGGTTTCCTGAACGTCAAGATCAACCTAGCGTCGGCAAGACACCCGCAGACCAACGGACAAGCGGAGCGGGTCAACGCCATCATGCAGCAGTACCTGAGATGCTACGCAAATCAGCAGCCAGCAACATGGGTGGACTACCTGCCGCTCGCCGAGTTCGCCTACAACAACACGAAGCACGTGTCCACGGGAGTGACACCGTTCTTCGCCAACAACGGGAGGCATCCCAGAACTTTCCCGGGATTAGAGAGAGTGGGGGAGGGGGAGCCACAGGCAGCGGAAGACTTAGCAGCAGAGTTGCAGGAGGTCCACGAACAGCTTCGGAGGCAGTTAGAACTAGCAAAGCACGCATACAAACTGCAGGCCGACAGACACAGAAGGGTTGGGGAAGACATACAGGTGGGAGACTGGGTTTGGTTAGCAGCCCAGGCAGTGCCGGCCAGATCGTTAGCAAAGAAGAAGCTCGGACATAAGCAGCTAGGGCCTTACCAAGTCGAGGCACTGGTCAATCCAGTGGCCTTCCGGTTGACACTTCCGGAAGGATCCAGAATGCACCCAGTTTTCCATAGATCAGTGCTCACGCCCTACAAAGCACCTCACAGATTTCAGGAGCCAGGCACGGCACCAGACCCGCTCAGGGAGACGCCCACAAGGGGGGGGTCGCCAAGGGGGGAGCCCATCAACGAAGTCACAGAGATTTTAGACTCGAGATGGGGGGAAGAGGGAGTAGAATATCTCCTAGCCAGAGAAGGTACCCCGGCCAGCGCCAACAGTTGGGTGCCGGACTATGCTTTGGAGGAACCTCTGCTCAAAGAGGAGTTTCATGCCCTTTTCCCACACAGACCCATGCCAGCCGAGTATTTCGACGACTGGCTTTTCACACCCACATTTTCAGCCAGCACGTTCCAGGGGTTCGCCTCGGACGAGGAACCGGCACCAGACACACGCTCCTCGGAGGGCTCACCCTCGGGGTCTGCCACAGACCGCTCTTATTGGTGGGACGATCGACCAGAGGAGCAGTGGCGCAGGAAGTGGCTGGGGGGTCCTTGGCAGGCATCACCTTCAGAGGGGAACGGGGGAGAGACGGACATGGACGTGTTGGGAGAGGACGTGGGGTTCGAACACGGAGGCAGAGAGATGGAGGCAGAGGAGATCGACGTCGCTGAGGGCACGGAGAACGAGCCGGACTTCGCCGGCTGGATGTACGACACGGGGGACGAACTGTATCCGGCAATCACCCCCACAACGACGGAGCACCCAGTACCCACACCGGAAGGAGGGGAGGGGGGAAGGGGGGCTTCGAGGGGGGGATGGATGTCAGGGGCTCAGGAGCAGAGGCACAGGAAAGGGAGGAGATAGAGACCGAGGGGGAGGAATCCGAGGGAGATGTCAGCGATGACAGCCGTCCGAGGTCTCTGAGTCTCTCCAGCGAATCGGAGGATTCACAGAAAGGGGCTCCCGTGGTCAGAGCAAGGGGGTTGCCAAGGGGAACACCCCAGGAAGGAGGGGCCAGAGGGGACTCAGAGAGCAGCAGTTGGAAATCGGGACCAGCTTCCCCACCAAAGAGCAGTAGGGGGGAGGAGTCCCAGGTATCGGCATCAGGCAGCTCTCCGTCAGCAGAAGGACATGAGTCAGGATTGGCCACGCCTGCATCAGAGAGCGAAGAAACGGTCGAAAGGAAGGTCAAAGACAGGGCGCGCGCGCCAAGTTCAAACCTACAAGAGAGTGGCGCAGTGAGCAGCCCGGATAGGGAGCCAGGTCCTAAAGCCCGCCGAAGGGAGGGGGAAGAGTCAGAGGGGTCCGCGTCCGAAGCGTCCAGGAAGGAAGGGATCCCGGGGGGTAGTAGGACCCAGAGGCGGAAGGAGAGACGGAAGAGGTGGAGTAAGGCTAGAGTCTTAAGCTGGTGTACAGGGGGCGGAGATTCAGACGGAGCTTCGCCGGTCTAGTGTCTAGACGTAGAGACGCACGCTAGGGTTTGAAAATGGATAATGTACTTAAATAAAGACTTTTGTATATTACCGCTGGCTAGCGTTGGTCCTCTGTGAGCTGGGACCTGGAGGCAGTCTCTGACACCAACAATCTATGTAGCCAAGAACCTTTTCCCCAGCTGGGCATGTTAGGGGAAATATGTCACTACTTGCAGAATGGGAAAGTGAATAGGAAATGTATTAACTCTCTTGAGTAAAGGGAAGGTGGGGTATAAAATCTAGAAATCATCAACTACGTCCTTGAAAGTTTATTTTGCTTGTTAGTAATTTACAAGAGTTTTCTACAGCAAGGGCAAAGTTGAAAATTTCTACTTCCAGTCCATGAATGACTTCAGATATGAAATATTTTCCATATACAGTGGTACCTCTGGATGCGAACAGGATCCTTTCCAGAGCCCCATTCGCATCCAGAAGCAAACGCAACCCGCATCCGCGCATGCGCAGGTCGTGATTTGCAACATTCCATATAACTTGCTGGTTGCTTATCTCTGGCAAGCGTTCCCTTTCCTTTTTAAATACTTTGGGTGACTTTCTCTTCATAGGGCTGAAGAATATGGACCAGTCGTGCGTTTTAATGTGCTTCACAAAGCTGTGGTCTTAGTATTAAGCCCCGAAGGAGTGAAGGTACTGTCACAATTCTACAACTTCAGAGGTGCAATAGTTTATCTAGGGCTTATATTCCCTTTGAATGGTTACTGGAGATTCACTTGAATTTTGAGACCTATGGTTTATTTGTGGACATGTGCAGGCTGACCACAGGTGAGGAAGTTCCAAAGCGTAAGCTGCTCTGATAGACACTACATCACCGCTAGGCTTCTAATACCTTTGGCACTTCCAATAAATCCCATAGCTCTCACTTTTTCCTTAGACCCCCTCCCTCTAAAATGGCCTTCCCCAGCTTTCTATCCTCCAAATGTTTTGGACTACAGTTCCCATCAGCCCCAGCCAGCATGTCCTGAACATCTGGAGGACATCAAGGTCAAGCACAGAAAACTGTTCCAGGTCCCAACATAATCCATGATAAGGTCATGGAACAGCCTATAGTCACAGGAAGTTCAACAAGGTCATAAAGGAGGTGGTTGCCTTCCACCACCACCATCAGGCCTAAGGAACCAGAAACTTGTCTTGTTTCTAGCAACTGGAAGGCTCAAGAGGAAGGGCTTATCCATACTGGTCTTCTAACCACAGATGCTGGTCCTGAAGGAGTTCCAGGGATAGCTTCATCATGACAACTCTGGGTTCATACGTGTATACTATGTTCTTGTAGTATACACATGTTCATATGTGTATACTATGTTTTTTGGCACCAGGGTTCTCAAGGGCAAGTGGTGGTGGTGACTCCACCTCCTTCTCTGACAGCCCTAGAGGGTCTTCAGCAGGGACTTCCGGGTTGACGCGATCTGGAAATGGCGGATTCCCTCCGAGCTCCGGAGGGAACCGGCTCCACTGAGGATGGGTCTTTGCCGCGCCGGCGACGCGGGGACCCTTAAAAACCGCAGGCGCGGAAGCCTGCGGACTGAAGACTCGGCGGGTGCCTTAAGCGCCCCCCCTGATTCGCAAAGAGCCTTTTTAAAGGCTGCGGAGGGGATACGGGGGTGGCGTGGCACTGAGAGTCGATCGCTACCTCGGTGGAGTGAAGCCGCGAGCCATGACCAGAGAGCGCTGACTTCCTTCCTTGAAAATTTGGACTGAAAGAATTACCCGTGAGTAAGACGGATTGGGACTTTATAAAAATTTTACCTTGAATTGGAGACGATCGGGGTGTGTGCTAAAAGGAAGTCCGCACCCCCCCCCCTTGCAGACGACCTAAGCAACGGCATAAGAGCTAAGCTGGAGAGCCTACCCCTGGTGGGGTGAGTTAAAAAGGACATTAACTTCCAAGATTTAACTAAAGGAAATTTTGGGCTGGAGAGTGGAGTTTTGGGAACCTTCTTTTTGCTTCAAACAACCCCCCCTCCCGGGCTCGGGAACGTCCTGCCTTGGTGCCTGTGTAAGAGCTGCGGAGTTTGACAGCTGTCAAAGCTGCCAAACGGCCGGTTTAAAGTGGAAAAATTGTCATCTCTTGACTAAGACGAGCTATAATTGAGCTAAAACTGTTGGAAACAAAGTAATAATAATCAGTTAAAGGATTGTTGGTGAAAAGGCTAATAAGTAACCAGATTCCCCCTAGGGGGAATTCTGTGAAACTACAATGGATACAATGGCTGCGGAAGGAAAGTTACTAGTGGAAATCGAAAGGATGTTTCAATTGGTGGGAATCTTACAAGAGCAGAGCTTGGCCATGAATAAACAACTTGAGACTATGACCTTGGGAACAGGCAACTCTGCTCTTTGTATTGAGGACCTCAACGAGAAAGAATTCACAGCTGAATGGGAAACAATACCTATAGAGTTGGAAGAGACTAAACAACAAGAAAAAGAAGAAGTAATCCTGGGAAGCAACAACCAAAAGCTGACATCTGCGGAACATAAGCAAGGAAACGCTGGGAACATATCTACTACAAGTCTGCGAAAGATACAGAAGAAGAAGGAGGAGGTCCCGGGACAAAATGGAATACAGAAATTTAAAATAAAGAAATATGATTGGGGCCTCCGTTTGGACTTTGATCTTGAAGAGATAGGTTTTGTGGAAATTCTTCAGCAGTTACTTTTGAATCCCCTTGTGGGAAGAGGAAACACTTTGATGGTGAAAGAACTTTTCCCAGACTTGACGACTGACATAAAGGACTACCAACGGGACAGGCGGAGAGGGACTGAAAGGGATTTGAAAGCCTCGGACGTGAGGAACCCAGGCTGAGAAACTCGAATTTGGATCTTTATTGGGAAGGGACAAAAACCGGGGATGGGAGGGAGGGAAGAAGAGACTTTTAAAAACTCTTAAGACTTTTAGGTTTGGTTAATATGACTCTTAATTAAGATAAAATGAAAATCGATGGAAGAGAACTTAAGTCCAACTTAGGAAAATTAATTTTTATTATAAAATAAGGTAATAAGATGAATAAGATTGTTAAGAGGAGAAACACCAACTTGCTGATATAATCTTGAAACTGGGATGCACGAGGGGAGGTGGGGGGAAGTCAGGGAACAAGTTTATGAAACGGGGATTTGTTGATTTTATACATGTTTTTGTCTTTCTCTTTTCTCTGTGTATGTTTTGTCTTTATAAAACCAGAAAACCAAATAAAAATTTTATTAAAAAAAAAAAAATAGAGGGTCTTCAGCAGGTCCCAAATGGTCCCTCCCGTGTATCCTAAGGATTGGTTTCAGGGGACCCTGCCTGCTCCTCAAGGTCCTTGACCTGTGGGGTGTCTTGTTTGTCCTCTGTGGGTTCCATGTCGGGTACCAGATCAAGCATGTCTCCAAGTTGCTTCCCCTACCATGTGGGGCTGACCCACCTGCCAAGCTAAGTCCTGTGCAAAAGATCCGCCAAATTTAAGCAAAGTATTCTGAAATAACTACCCTCAATTGGACCCCCTGTTTTTAAAGGCAGAAGGAAGGTACCCACCCGCCCCCATCCTCAAACTTGAGCCCAGCACACTAATGTTAGAAATCAGTTCTCCTAAATTTAGCACTTGATATTCTTAGTAATGAGATTAACCGAATTTCAGAAAACTGACCAAAGGATTTAATTTTAGGAGTGCCTGTTGTCACCACAGTACCCAAAAGACCAAGAATATGAACGTACTTGCAATATATTTGGAGAAAGGTGAGTTAATATAAAAGTAAGTTACAATCAATAAGTATGATGAAATGACAGCCAGTTTCCAGCAAATTTGTTGGGTTCTGCTGGACAGATGTATAAATTTATGGAAGACAAAGATATGAATGGCTGTTGGCCATGAGAGCTGTGTTCTTCATCCGGTGTCTGAAGAAACACACCTCTGAACACCAGTTGCTAGAGGTCACAAATGGGGAGAGAGCTGCTGCATTCAGGTCCTTCTTGCTGACTTTTCAGCTGTATTTGGTTGTGAAAACATAATATTGGACCTGTTTGGCCTTTAGTCTTATCCAGCACCACTCTTCTTATGCTCTTTTGAAATAAACGTATTTTATACATATATGGAATCAGTATAGTATAAGAACCAGCGTGCAACCCAGGTAATAATAATAACAATAATAATAATAAATTATTATTTATACCCTACTGTTCTGGCTGGATTTCCACAGTCACTCTGGGCAGCTCCCAACAGAATATTAAAAACACGATAAAGCATCAAACATTAAAAACATCCCTAAACAGGGCTGCCTTCAGAAAGTCAGATAGTTGTTTATTTCCTTGACATCTGATGGGAGGGTGTTCCACAGGGCGGCTGCCACTGCCAAAAAGGCCCTCTGCCTGGTTCCCTGTAACATCACTTCTCGCAATGAGGGAACTGCCAGAAGGCCCTCGGCGCTGGACCTCAGTGTCTGGGCTGAACAATGGGGGTAGAAATGCTCCTTCAGGCCCTTTGGGGCTTTCAAGGTCAGCACCAACACTTTGAATTCTGCTCGGACACATACTGGGAGCCAATATAGGTCTTTCAGGACTGATTTTGATGTGGTTTCGGCAGCCACTCCCAGTCACCAGTCTGGCTGCCACATTCTGGATTAATTGCAGTTTCCAGGTCATCTTCAAAGGTAGCCCCACGTAGAGAGTATTGCAGTAGTCCATGCGGGAGATAAGCAGAGAATGCACCACTCTGGCGAGACAGTCCGCAAGCAGGTAGGGTCTCAGCCTGTGTACCAGATGGAGCTGGTAGACAGCTGCCCTGGATACAAAATTGACCTGCACCTCCATGGACAGCTGTGAGTCCAAAATGACTCCCAGGCTGTGCACATGGTCCTTCAGGGGCACAATTACCCCATTCAGGACCAGGTAGTCCTCCACACATAACTAGCTTTTTTTTCTTTTCTTTTTTACGATGCCTCTCCTGGCTTAGAAGCCATGATTTTCTGTTGCTACTGTCCAAACTTTTCCATATAGGAAAGCCTTGAAAAGTAAACTCTGTGTTTCACAAGTGAAGTTTAAATTCCATTTCAGGGTTCCATATTCACTGGATGATCCCCTAGACAGATACAAACACATTCATCCTAGATAGCTGTGGAGCATACAGTGCTAGACCAGCATGCTGTCACCTGGCAGTGCAGACTGAAAAGAAGACTCTGGGTTCACACGCTCACAAGTTTGGAAGTGCTATTCATGTAGTAGACATGTGCACCCTGAAGAATGCCTATAGCCTTTTACCTAGTTAGCTGTGGAAGTCTTCCTGAATACTCCATGCAATCCATAGCATAAGCAAGAAGAGTCCCAAAGCGGCTCAGAACAGAATGGTTTACTAGGTACACCAGTAAATCCACAATGTGGCTCAAAGGTTAACAACTGGAAAATATTTGTGCTGCAGTTTAAGGGTGGATACATAAACTTTCCCCCACCTGCCTGGCTTCTGGTAACCTGTGATTCCAGAGAGGTGACTTTTGCAGCTGGGTAAAAAGTGTGTGGAGAATCCACTGCCTCTTTCCTCCCCTGCAGACGGTGACTTTTAAAGATGTTCCATGGAGAGTGTTTGCAGACCTAGCTGCCCACTGTGCATAAGACTAGCCTCAATTTGTGACCCACTAAATTATATGTAGCCCAAGAGCTTTCTATGGGGGTTTGCCAGAGCCTTGATAAACTCCCTGTTCTTTTTGCCTGCCTGGAGGCTGCATAAAGTAAGGATGTCTGGCACCTTGCATGTCACAATCAGTGGTTGGGTGGGACGCATTTGGTTGCAGCCTTTCTCAAACTTGGGTCCCCAGATGTTGTTTGACTACAACTCCCATCATGCCTAGCTACCAGGACCAGTGGTCAGGGATGATGGGAGTTGTAGTACAACAACATCTGGGGACTCAAGATTGAGAAAGGCTGGGTAGGTCACAAGTTGTGCATGCCTGGCAGAGATGTGGACAGACTTGGACTTACAGTGGTACCTCGGTTTTCAGGTGCCTCTGTTGCCGAACGTTTCGGTTTTCAAACGCCGAAAACCCAGAAGTAAATGCTTCCGTTTTCAAACACGCTTCGGAAGTCAAACAGCTTCCACTGTGTGTATCTGTTGTTTTTCACAATTTCCTCTATTGAATTGGCAGACCGTCCTTTGCACCTTGGTTTTTGAACATTTCGGAAGTCGAATGGTCTTCCGGAACAGATTACCTTTGAAAACCGAGGTTCCACTGTATTTTGGATCCCTGTCTGGAGAACCATGAGGTTAGGAGGAATATTTAGCAATGAAAACTTAGTGGGTAGCATTTATTTAAAATGTCAAATTGTACCATATTAAGAAAGGGCAGACATGTGAAAATTAAAGAGGGGGAGTTGATAAAATAAGAGTTTATGTTCACACATCTAAGGCTCCGTTCCGGTGGTCCTTCAAAACAAGGAAACATGCTGTTAGAATCATGTACTCCCTTCTTTCTTCCTTCATGCACGCCAATCTCTTCCTTTTTCTGGTTTCTTCTAACCACTGTTTACCACGACTTCTGAATCAGGCAAACAATGACCAGAATTTATTCCAAAGCCTGGTTTTGCAAAACCAGCTTCAAATGCATTAGGGTGTATTTTCTCAAGTTCCTACATCATGGCAAACGAAGGTGGAAAACAAAAAATGAAGAAAGAACTCCATGGAAGTCTGTGGCACATTCCTGATTCTCCACACTAGATTAGAATATGACATCTGAACTAGTCCATGCAGGGTATAATGTTTTTCTCCATTTTCCACAGATTTTTAGGGAATGGCTTAGTAAGTGACCTTGACCATGCCCGCTGGTACAAACAGCGGAGAATTATGGATGTGGCTTTCAGTCGAAGGTAAGGCAGAGAACATAGGCATAGCCTGATGCTATGACCAGTGGTCCATCTTGCTCAGCATTCATCTACAGTGGCTTGCCGCAGTTCTCCAGTGCTTCAGATAGGAGTCGTTCCCACCCTCCCAAGAGGAACCAGAGACTGAATTTGGGGCCTTCTTCATCTACTTTGTGCACAGAAGGTCCTGGATTCAGTCTCTCCAGGTAGGGCTGGAAAATACTCCCTTGGGACTCAGCTACACAGCTGAAAAACACATGTTCTAAATGCGTTGCGAAGTGCAATCTACAAATGTGACGCTAGATGGCGAAAGTGAGCTGTGCCAAATTCAACGTATTTTCCAAAACGTTTTTAGAAAAAGCATTTTCACAGCCTTTTTTTATATGTGTGTAGATTCCAGCACTGAGAGTCACTGCCATTCGGTGTAGACAGTGCTGAGCTATATGGACCAGAGGTATGACTGGATAAAATAGCTTCATATGTTTTATAAAAGAAATTCTTAATTAGAGGTGCAAGAAACTGCTCTGAAGGATTATTATGCATGATCTTATATCTCATTGATATAAGAAATTCAGGTTAGGGACAACCTCCCAGCACACAAAAATTGGATTGTTGTTGGTGATGGTGGTGTGTTGGGAAAGTCCTGGATCTCTCATTCTGGCAAGCACCATCCACTGCCTTAATTGTAGCTCTACGAACACTTACCAAAGCTGCACAACTGTTAGACTTGTGAATTGATCTGCATATTCATCAGCTTTTCTTTTTTTAAAAAAAAATCAAACTGTATTATGAACAAATATAGCAAATTTAAATCCTTTTTCAGAGCAGCTTTCCTCTATTTGCTGTGAGTGTGTGTGTGTGTATCCATTGAAGAAAAAAATGAGTTTAGTCCATGAAAGGCTAGACATATCGTGCTGTGCAGTTTCTAACCTCACTCTCCATCAGTGAAATATATTGGCAAAAAAAGAGAACCTCACCATGTAATAATTCCATGGGATGCCATTCTAAGTGTAGCCTTAGCAAACCATCGCCAAAGCCAGCAGGTTCCTTTGCATTGATATTAGTGCATGGATTGCCAACACACCTGGACATTGGAAGGCTGCCCTCCCCCCAGGTCTAATTGCACCAGGGGCACCACTGAGGGTTAACTCTTCCTTCCTCATCTGCAGTTGGCTTCAAAAACCTGGAATTGTGGCTTCGAGCCTAATTGTTGCTGTTTGTGTGTGAGCAAGAGATTGCAGCTTGGTAGAAAAGGTTTGTCGTATGCTGAAGAAATATGCATTGACCCTGGCCTTTGACACTTGAGATGTATATTTTAGGACCCACAATTATTATTGTGATTGTAATTTGTTTTTGACTGTTTTTAATAGATGCTCAATTGTTGTGACCTGCCCTGGGACCTTCAGGTGAAGGGCGGATAAGCAGTAGTGGTAATAATAATAATAATAATAATAATAATAATAATAATAATAATTGTCAGAACATGCCTGTTTTGTCATCTTCCTGATGAAGCGCAGCCCAGGACCTTCATAAATCTTCAGTCCTGGTGCGCACCAGCGACACATATCTTGAGATATGTGCACACTCAATCAGCAGAGTATAGCAGAAACGATGTGGAGCTTAGGTGTGTGCATTCCAAGTAATTTATTAAGCAATATATACAGGACAAAGCAATCATGGCGTCCCCTCACATCTTCTCCAAGAGAGAGAGAGAAAAGTAAAGTACAAAAGTACAATACAGCGGAAGAGATAAGACTGACTTCATTCTCACACTTTCCAATAATAATAATAATAATAATTTGGACAGTTACCTCACTCGCTTGATGGGAACCTTCAACGACCAAGCAGACAAGCTTATGGAGCAGCTGGAGGGAAAAGCTGATGGAAAAACTGCAGTCGATATGCTGAGTCTGCTGAGTCGAGTGACCCTGGACATCATTGCAAAGGTAGATGCTAGATTAATTTCCTGTTCTTGGACTCCAACTCCCATCATTCCTGATTTTGCTCTGCTGGCTGGGGCAGATGGGTGTTGGAGTCCAACAACATCGACCGGGCCACAGATTCCCCATCCCTGTTTTACATGTTATGCCTGCTGAGTTCAGATCCACCACAGAGAATTCCTCTTTATTTCCCATTTTTCTTTTTATTGTTAAAGCACAGATCATGACAAAAATTTATCAGGTTTTGTCAAATTAAAGTATAATACTAACGTCATACAGATTATTATTGAACCCTTTGTAAATAAAAGAACTTAAATTACTTACCATAATTACAAAAAACAACAACAGACTAGTTCATGGTTCTTTTAATTTATTTTATTAATTCAAAATGTCTTACGTGCTCTTCATTGTAACAATCCCAGAACAAAGTACATAAGGAGTTTTAAAATATAACACACAAAACAAAACACAAAAATACACAACTGCCACATCCACACTGTACGTTTTAAACACTATTATGCTACTTTAAAAGTCATGGCTTCCCCCAAAGAATCTTGGGAACTGTAATTTGTTATGGATTCTAGGAATTCCAGCTACTCTCAGGACTCACTTGACAAAGGAAGCCACTACTGTTAAAGCAGTATAATAGTGTCTTAATTGAATTGCGTGTGCAGTAACACTAGTAATTTGAAGGCATTTCCTTGCAGGAGACATTGGGATAGAAGTTTGGAGAAAATCCCTGAAGAATGGTGTGAGGGAGTGGAAAGTGGCTAGCTGGAAGGGCTCCTCCAGCAGAAAACTAGTGTTTGTTGCAACTGCTACTTAATAAAACAACCGTGTTAACTATGGTCTCAGGTTATTGAACCCAAAGGTATTTGTGGACGTGGCCAATCTTAACAAACAGTAAAACAATAGTTAAACAAACTTGCTCCGGCCTAAAAGCTCGATAAACACCTGAACAAACAAGCATAGTTGGCACTGAAAACTAATTACGGTTGGCACCAGCTGCACTGGAAAGAGAAGGGAGCTCCCTAACTGGGGTGCTACCACCGATAAGGCCCTCTCAAGGATTGCTGCATAACATGTTACAGACAGCTGCAGCACCGCTTTGTAAGCCCCCAAACGGGAACGGAAATGATTCCTGCAAATGGCTCCCAAGGAAGAAGTTCAAGCAGGGGTAGGGAACTGTATCCAATCAGTGGGCAGGATCCATAACTGTCAGTCACCTGAAGCTTAGGGAAGTTTTAAAGGTTTGATGTTTTATTCTGTTTTTAATCTGTTGGGAGCCATCCAGAGTGGCTGGGGAAACTCAGCCAGATGGGCGGGGTTTAAATAATGATGATGATGATGATGATAATGATGATGTTATGTAAGTGGCAGCGCCCCCAGAGTCACAAGGGTGACTATAAGGCACTCCCACTGCACCAGCCTCTCCTGTGCATTAACATGGCAATAGAAGGGTTTCTACAGCAGCTCCTTCCCAGACCCTCAGACTTTTGACCAACCTTCTCATTTTTCTGAATGTTATCAGGTGGCTTTTGGCTTAGAACTGAACACTGTCTATGATGACCAGACGCCTTTTCCACGTGCCATATACATGACCCTACAAGGACTATCCAAATCCCGCATTCCTTTTTTCGAGGTGAGTGCAGACATTTATTTATTTCCGTGTGAACTTGCCCTGTGCAAAGATTTTGCTTGTAAAGCTTATTCAGGGGGTCTCCAAAATCCTAGAATTACGCCTGTCTTGCAGGAATGTTTGTAACTGGGACTGTCTTGTCTTCAGAGAGGACGGACAAGAATTTGGATTCAGACTATTCGTTGCCCGGGGAAGGAATTTTAAAGACTGGAGAGTAGGATGCTTGGTTGGTGATAATGTGATATTGAGCTCTCCTGTTGAGGGACTGGGCCAAGGGGCAGGGGGCTTTGCAAGCCTGTATATTCAGTGCAGCACCCCTTGTGAGGGGAGAGAGACTTTCTGTTCTTCATCAGGCAATGACACTTCCACCTGCCTTGCCCCACCTAGCCTCTCCCAGACTTTGACTTTGAGAACAGCAGCTGGGAAGAGAGGAGTTCAGGGATATGTTTTAAAAATAGTTTTACAAGTTGTGCTTCTTTGTTTCTCAGTTTGATCCTTTTACATGGTTTTGTACGTTTGGTGGTATTTTATGCATTGTGATTTGCTGTTACTTCTGCTGATTATAGACTGCTAATTCTTTATTGTGTTCGAAGTGTTTAATTATTATCTGCTGGTGTTTAATTTTACTATTTACTATTAGATGGATTGTTGAATGTTGCTTTGTTTGATGTAAGTTGTTTATTTTAAAGTTATTGTGACTTTTATACTGGATCAGATGGTTACTGTTAATGTTTGATGTTTTATTATGCTTTTATGTCTTGGAAGCCGCACAGAGTGGCTTGGCAACCCAGCTAGATGGGCGGGGTATAAATGAAATATTGTTGTTTTTGTTGGAGGGACAAGGATGTGGTGTGGCAGTGGTCCACAAATATTCCATCATTCTCACCAGGAGGTCAGTGCTTCTGGCAATTGAGGTTTGTATTTGGCAACCTTATCCGAGGATGGGCCGGTCGACGCTACATCCATCGAAGGATGGGCCGGAGCGTGTGCGCATGCGCACTCTTCCGAATCAGAGGAGCACCTGTGCACCTGTGCACACTATTTCCGGCGCTCCTCCTACCCACATGTGCACTGGAAATAGGGTGTGCGCGTGCGCGCTTCTCCGTCCCGCACGCTTGCGCACACACTATTTCCATCGCACATCTGGGTCAGAGGAGCGCCCATGCACATGCGCACAGGCCCCATCAACCCGGATGTCGGTCCCCGGACTGCACCATGCCAGTAAGAGCAGGTGGCGGGGTCAGCAGGGGTTGCCATGAGCCGGTTAGACAAGCCTTGTGGGCCACTCCCGGCCCATGGGCCTTAGGTTGCTGACCCCTGGCATTTGGTGTTGGGAGGCAGAGACAGAATAGGATCTTGCTGGTATACAATCCACCCCACAGCCCAACCATCTCCCTGGCTGAGCTGGCAAACACATTCACTGGTGCAGTATTGCAGATCCCAAGGACATCAGTTCTGGGGCTCTGCGCATTCTGTGCAGGCATTTCGCTGCAGTCAGAATCAGAGGAGCCTGGAGTGTATAGAAATAGTGTATAGAAATTTGTGGACAGCTGGACAATCCCCAGCCTCTAATGTAGGGTTATGCATATTCTTGCTAACTAGCATGAGAAGGGTTTAAGTCCACAGAGCTGTATTGCTGATAGGCAGTGTTCAGACCATACAAATACTGTTGGTAGAGAGGACTCTGCGTGGTGTCATTTCCTCTCCTCTCCTGGAGAGGAAGGAGCATATATTACTTCCTGCCCCCCCTTCCACCATCATTGGATGCAGACATGTCTCTGCCTGCTGCAGTTTTATATATATATATATTCAATTTTTCAGAAATATTTTGACATAAATACAATCCAATATTTTCCAACAAATAGATGCTTGTGAAGCCGGCTATACTGTTAAATATAAGTATTTTAGCTGCATAGCTGCCTTTGCTGTGAACCAATGCATGATTATAAAGCAAGTAAATCTTATTTTTAAACTTACTGTACAAATTGTTGCCTGATTCTTTCTTAAGTGGGGTACGAAGGGGGAAGCCAGCTTACTTAATAGCTGGACTTGCTCAAAACAAGGTTTTACAGTCTGATTCCTATGCTTTTCATTTTGCCACCAAGGATGGGATTCTGAAACTCTGTTTAACCCACACATGTGGGTGCCTGGAGGGATAAATTGCAATCAATATATATCCTCTCCTACCCAAAGGAGTTTGACCGATATACAAATTCTGGGCTTCTTTCCAGCCAAGCCAGTCCTCAAGGAAGCTTGCAAAGAGAAAAACCAAATACCCCACTATTATTAAGCCAGCAAATATATAATGGGCAATTCAAACCTGTTGTCTGTTTTATAGTACATGCCATGGAACAGAAAAGAAGTGAAAGGTGTTCAGGAGAGCATAAGGCTGCTACGTCGTACTGGGAAGGAGTGTATTGAACAGAGGCGTAAGGACATGCAGGATGGAGAAGAGATCCCGTTGGATATTCTCACTCAGATACTGAAGGGTGCAGGTAGACTGTGGTTTTTTGTACTTACCACACATGAGTGTCTCCTTGTGGACCCCACACGTTCATCTTTAGCCGCACAAAGTGGTTTACAGCCCTTCGTTTCAGCCGAACATGCTATTTGCAAAAACATCTTAATTAGTCACTGTTACTACTACTACTGTGGGACGCGGGTGGTGCTGTGGGTTAAACCACAGAGCCTAGGACTTGCCGATCAGAAGGTCGGCGGTTCGAATCCCTGTGATGGGATGAGCTCCCGTTGCTCGGTCCCTGCTCCTGCCAACCTAGCAGTTCGAAAGCACGTCAAAGTGCAAGTAGATAAATAGGTACCGCTCTGGTGGGAAGGTAAACGGCGTTTCTGTGCGCTGCTCTGGTTTGCCAGAAGCAGTTTAGTCATGCTGGCCACATGACCCGGAAGCTGTACGCCGGTTCCCTCGGCCAATAAAGCGAGATGAGCGCCGCAACCCCACAGTCGGCCACGACTGGACCTAATGGTCAGGGGTCCCTTTACCTTACTACTACAGTCATACCCCAGGGTAAATGTGCTTCAAGTTAAGTATTTTTGGGTTGCGCTCCACGGTGACCCAGAAGTAACGGATCGTGTTACCTCCGTGTTTCGCCACGTGCGCATGCGCAGACAGTCAAAATGACGTCACGCGCATGTGCGAAAGAGGCGAAAGACGACCCGCGCATGCGCAGGTTGTGTTCGCTTCAGGATGCGAATGGGACTCCGGAACAGATCCCGTTCGCATCCTGAGGTACCACTGTACTACTAGTAACTGAGTATGCAGCCTTCTTTGTAATTTCCCTTAGATGTTCATATGCAAAGGGCGGGGGGTATTTTCTCCCCATCTGTACTGCAGCTAGTAGTACAAGAAGCAATGACGTTTAATTCTAAGGAACAGAGTTTGGCTTGCTTGTTAGGGAAACTACCATAAACAGATATCATCAAAATGTATTACAGAAGGTGATCATCTGGCTGCTTCATCCTAAATCGATGGAAGTCTCCAGGTAGACTCATCAACAGCATAATGCAATAAGCTAACTTGGACTTAACTAGCTATGAAAAACCAGGTCCACTACCTTCCCGCCAACTTCTTGCTATTGTTAGAACAGTCCAGAATTTACACTTCTGTCCAGAAAGTTATGTCAGATTTTGCTCTTTGTTTTCCATTACAGCACAGGAAGAGGGCTGCAACGATGAACTGATGTTGGACAATTTTGTCACCTTCTTCGTTGCAGGTTTGTAAGTCTGTTGTTCTTTAGATATAATTAAGAAGATCAGCCACCCAGAACAGACTTCTGGCGTGTTTAGCCAACACAGATAGAAATAGTGTTGAGATTAATATCCACACACAGATTTTTTTTCTGGGGCTAACTGTACCAACTGGATTCATATCTTGACGTGAATAATAATAATAATAATAATAATAATAATAATAATAATAATACCTATTACTATCCAGGGTCAGTAGCTGTTGTGCCTGACAAGTCTGTAAGAAGCAACTTTGAAACTTTGCATTGCTTCCAACCTTGGCGAACTGCATTCATGCGTCGAGGGCCGTGCTGCTTTCAGATTCACCTCTCACTCAAGTTTAGCTTTTTACCAGATGGACTGAAAGTCGGTTTTATTAGCTGGTGGAGGAAGCTGGCCAGCATTGGAGATGTGCTGGTGCAGAGATGCTTACCTAACCTCTCAGCAGGTGAGTCGTTGCTGCTTACTGGGAAGGGTGAGGTGACGATGAGATCAGCAAGCTGCAAAAGCACCAGTGGAGCCAATATGGTGCTCCTGCTGGTGGATTTGCACTGTGTTGCTCAGTCCATTGCCTTGCCCCATCTCTTCCAGGTAAGAAGCAATAGCTCACCTGCCAGGTGGTCAGGTAAGCATCTTCACTCCACCACCCCTGAGCTGCTCACACAGCAGCACACTAAACTATCACTCGGATTCCACCAGGAGACACTGTTCCATCTCCAGAAGTCACCTTTTGGAAAAAGAAAATATAATATATTTCCTAATCTCATATTTTGCTGCTTGTTTCTGTTGGAAATTAAGTTTCTGCCATTATGCGCGAGCCACGTTAATCAGGGCTTCTATCTTTTATCAGAAGACTAATTCCAATCTATAGTTTGATTCCTAACCACACTCTGTCATGTTCTGTGGTGTAGAGCGAGTGTGGTGTAGTGGTTAAGAGCGGTGGACTCGTAATCTGGTGAACTGGGTTCGCTTCCCCGCTCCTCCACAGGAGCTGGGTGACCTTGGGCTAGTCACACTTCTCTGAAGTCTCTCAGCCTCACTCACCTCACAGAGTGTTTTTTGTGGGGGAGGAAGGGAAAAGGAGATTGTTTTGCTTTGAGACTCCTTAGGGTAGTGATAAAGCAGGATATCAAATCCAAATTATTATTCTTCTTTATCCTGCAGGTCACGACACCACTACTACCCAGTTAAGTTTCACCATAATGGAGCTGTCACGAAACCCTGAGGTAGTTGCAAAGTAGGTGAACTGTTTGTCTTTCCACTTGTCCATGCTGGTAGTTATAGGAAGTTGTAGCTTTTCACTTTTTAAAATATTTGAGACTTTGGAGGCCAGTTCACACAATTTTCCCATTCAGACCAGCACTCACTGCACGTGAACAAACATAATGTGAGGAAACCATGGATATAGAGTTGTGGGTGTAGAGGCGAAGTACTTAATATCTACTAAAAATCTGGGGATCTTGACAATATTGGCAAGTACTCAAGTTCAGGTGCATAATAATAATAATAGTAGTAGTAGTAGTAAAATTTTATTTAAATCCCCCCCTCCCCAGCCGAAGCCGGGCTCAGAGCAGCTAACAACAGTAAAATAATACAGCATTCTAAAATCAATTCATTATAAAATCAGTTCAAATCAAATTGATGGCAACCATTGGGCTAGAGTTCTGTGGTGGAACAGCTCTGTCTTGCAGGCCCTGTGGAAAGATGTCAAGATGTGTGGGTAAATATATGGTCCTAAGGCATGGCCATAAGGCGTTACATAGTTGTCAGGGAATTGGAGGCAGAGAAGGGGGAGAGAATGGGGACTTACCGAGATAAGCCCCCGATAATGAGCAGCTGTTCTTCCTTGGACGAGGAAGGTGATGAAGGGCTGTTAGGAGGCAATGAATCTGAGAGGGGGGAGCCACTTCCGGGGCCCAGCCACTCTCGTAACACAGGAAGGAAGAGGGTTGGGCTCAGGAAATGGATATGCTGGGGGAAACGAAAAGCTCCTTCAGTTGAGGCAACTGACTCACCATGATGGAGACGGACATTTGAGCTCTTGTATATAGCGAGAATAAACCAATAAATCTTTGTAAATATGGGTGGATTCCTGGACTCTTATCTCTGCTAGCACCCACCAATCATTCCTGACAATAGTCTATGTGCGAATTTGTATGAATGCCCCATGTAGGCCAGCGGTTGCCAATGAAATCTTCTGATTTGTAGACTTCAGGCTGAAGTGGATGACGTCATTGGTGTGAAGAGAGACATCGCCTATGAAGATCTTGGGAAGCTCCAGTGCTTATCTCAGGTACGCTTGGAGAACAAATGAGATGAAAAATTGTATTTAAAAAAGAAAAGGAAGAAAGAGCAAAGGCACAGGTAACCCAACGCTGCTCTCAACCCTTTTGGCTCAGCAGTCACTGGTGAGATTAAGGACTCCTTCTGACGATCTGTTTATTCAGCATTTATCCAGATTTGTCTGAACAAAGCTTATGGGGCAGTTCGGTTTTTATTGAGCATTCATTCCAATTTGTTTACAGGGTGGTTCTATGCCCATGAGCATTTATCCTGAATTGCTTGCAGGGCGTTTACCTGTCTTCCTGTTAATCATTCATTCCAGACTTTCAATACATTTGTCTGTAACTTTCCAAACCAGAGGTGAGTTCCTGGTCAAAGGCAACAAGCCCACAGCTGGGCTGTCACATGGCCTCCCTGAGGAGGAGGAGCCACACCCAGGCTTGAGGGTCAGTGCCCTGAAGGCTGTAACTTGCACTGACCTCTCCCCATCCTCAGCCTCCCATCCCATCCATTTTTCCTTTCCTGCCCTGGCAACTGGCATCAGAAGGAGCAGGGCAGTGTCAGGAAGCCAGCCCGCCATAGCACCCACAACCTGAGAGGTGCCGGAGCCATACTCTGGCTGGGAAAAAAAACCCCTGGTTTGAAATGCAGATGAGCAACCCTGGCTGCAGTCGTGCAAAAGGCATTTCTTCCAGTTCTCAAGAATTATAAGAGGCTTTTCTTACTGGTGGGGAACTAAGGCTAAGGGAAATATATTTGCTGAAAACCATCAAGCAGGTTTGAGCATGAGCTGGAGACGAAACTCAAAAGTGTTTGTTTTCCAGCTGAAAGCCCACCCTTCCTATCTCTCAAATCACCGTGGCTGTTAAGTAAAGAAGTCCCTTTACCAGCATTGTGGAATTGTGGCTCAAGCTGTTGTTATTATCCCAGGTTCTCAAGGAAGCCTTGCGCTTATACTCTCCGGTTCCCACTGTTCCTCGCTGGACAAGGAAGGAAACCGTCTTTGAAGGAGTCAAAATTCCAGCAAACACAACTCTGATGGTGAGTCTGTCGAATGGACTGCAGTGAATGGTTCTCTCAAAAATATTGGCCTTCAGCACCAAACCTCCCAGATCCCCCGATGACATGTCTGCATTAATTTTTGTTTAAGTAAATCTGGGGCAGCGTTATGTGCCATAGTTATGTGGGAAGAATGCAAGGAAGCTGCAGATGTCTAGTAGAAGCAGTCGCAAAACTTAGCATGCCAGAATCTCAGCTTGAACTCCCCCCCCCCTTTTATACCTGAAAAAAAGCAACTTTCAAGTCTTTACGATGCCAAAGATATGCTTAAAACTATGTGGTCCAGTGGAAATCACAGAAGCCAGAAAGCAAGTTTAAGTCTGGATGCTCTGTGCTACAAAGGATAGCAGAGAAATATGTTTAGCATCAGCTTAGCTGCAGGAGTTTCCGGAAGGTGGTGCACAAGAGAGCAAGTGTGGTGTAGTGGTTAAGAGTGGTGGACTCGTAATCTGGTGAACCGGATTCGCTTCCCTGCTCCTCCACATGCAGCTGCTGGGTGACCTTGGGCCAGTCACACTTCTCTGAAGTCTCTCAGCCCCACTCACCTCACAGAGTGTTTGTTGTGGGGGAGGAAGGGAAAAGAGATGGTTAGCCGCTTTGAGACTCCTTAAAGGGAGTGAAAGGTGGGATATCAAGTCCTAACTCTTCTTCAACAAGGCACCATCCAACCACCTTAGGGACTCCACTCCAGATTTGTGTAGGGTTTAATCTTTAGCCTTTTCTTCTCCCTAAGATATCCCACAAGGCAGTGTAAGTTTAGGAGCAGGGTTTTCCTTCTCCTAGATGGGCTACCTTCCCAGGACGAGCCCCATCTGCTCCTAACTTCCCTCTACAGCAGAGATTATTATATGCGGAATCAAATCAAATGATTATAATGTATGTCAGCTACACCAATAAGATGAAACAATAACCAGCTGTATTTCTTAGTTTCTGTTATGAAGCTTTCACTCCAGCATCCGTCTTGGAACCATTCCTAAAAAAAAATTAAAAAAATTAACAGGCCTTAAGCATCTACCGTACATTGCAAATTTTCTAAAGAAACACTTTTGGCTTTAGGCCGCTAGGTGGCAACCACATAAACATATCTTTATAATAATGAATACGGTCTCAAATCCACACCAAATGTTTCATTCCAAAAAGTAATATAAAAACCCCCACTCATTTTCAACAAGTTTTCTCAAACAAGATGTTTTTCCTTGATTGGGTATAATATGTTGACTAATAAATTATGGCATGTCCCATATTCTAAAAAACCCAAAACCCTATTCAGATAGAAGATGTGAGGATTCTTTCCCCCAGTAAACAGGTGTTGACATATCGTGTGAGATCCAAAGGACAAGGATCATTTCTGTATCCACATTGTAAACACATGTTTTCAACAAAATTAAGAGTATATTTTTCAGATTCATTCCTAATTCGTAACCTGAGATTTCTTTAATGCATTCCACCACTGAACACTGGGCATTTTGGATTTTACGGTATTTTCAAAAATATGTTAATGTTTTTACTTACTTACTTACTTACTTACTTACTTACTTACTTACTTACTTAATTAATTAATACACTGCCCCTCATCTGAAGACCACAGGGTGGTTTACAACATAAAAATACAAAATAAAAACACAAAATACATAAATAGTCTTGTATGTGGGTGCTTTAGTTTAGAGGTGCTCAGATGCCATTGGAGGATGAACGCAAGATCTAAGTAATTCTCTTTCAGATTCATAGATATCAGTGTTTTATCTCCAAACATTTACTTTCTGCTTTCTCCAACACACACCTGTGACTGTTTCAGCCATGTGTCAACAGCTTAACAGCACCATAAGTTCAATTTTATATTAGGGATTTGAATTAAATTTAAAAACATTTCCAGCTAATACTGATATAAATGTAGTAGATGTGACTTCAGGGCGTGTGTAGGAACGGCCAGGAAGTGATAACATCATTTCATTAAAACCCGGTGATATGAGGTTGTGATGTGCAGCTGCCTCTTGCTGTGAATGACAAATGTTTTTGCAGCTTGCTTTGCATTTACAAGTGCAAATGACTGTCTCCTCTCTTGCCAGTTTAGTCAATATGTCATGGGACGCATGAAAAGGTTTTTCAAAGACCCGCTTATCTTCAATCCTGACCGGTTTAGCAAAGACCAAACAATGTAAGTTTCTGTTGCTGCATTTTTGGGGAAATTGTGCTAAACGTTCTTTCATTTGTTTGCTTTGGGCTGTATCCAACAGATGCACCCTGTCAGTTCAAGGAATTTCACTTTTTGCAGTGGGACTAGGTTTAGTGGATGCACAGAGGGAGAAGAAGCAGGGAAAGTTGGTTGGTACAATTAGAAATCCTTGTTTTGAGAGGGCACAGTATTTAATGCTATGCTGGATACAACTCTCTAATACAATACATATTGTCTGGTCAATGTTAGAAACTTGGTGAATGTTGACATTTACTGGTAATTCTTAGGATTTTAGGAGACACGCTGGAAAATGTCAAAACAAATTGTAACATGAAGCTCATTTGAATGGCGTGTATGGATAACATATTGGGAATACAAATGAGTTTGGAACATGCAGTTGAAATGGCCAGTTGGCATTAAATTTACTCCTAAATTGAAAGGTATTTTTTGACATTTCCTCCTGGATTTTTTAATTCAGAGAATTACCAGCAAACGTCAATATTCACATAATTCTGATGCTATGATAATTTGGTTCTCAGAATAAAAATTGACTGCTTTTTTACTTTAACGGTAGCTTGGTCTGCAGAAATTAACATGTGGAGCTTTTCACAACATAGAGTATTATCAATCGGTCTCTGTGTTAAGCTACTTTTAAGCACACAGGAGCCCAAGACGCTGCCTGGGCAAGACACATACTGTAGGAATACAGTCATACCTCAGGTTGAAGTAGCTTCGGGATGAGTATTTTCGAGTTGCGCTCCACGGTGACCCAGAAGTAACGGAGCGTGTTACTTCCGGGTTTCACCGCTCATAGATGCTCAAAATGACATCATGCGCATGTGCGGAAGCGGCGAATCGCAGGTGGACGCGGGTTGCGTTCGCTTCAGGATGCGAACGCGGCTCCAGAACAGATCCCATTCGCATCCAGAGGTACCACTGTACAAGCGAATAGTAAAGAGAACCCGCACAAGCGACGCTGACACAAAACCCCACACATACACTAAGTAGAATAGAAGCATTGCCACCCCACCCACTCACCATTCCGCCCTCCACCTCTTTCCCCTTTTCTTCCTAATGTAACACTAACATCTCAACAAATGAAACTGATCTGTAGAAAGTGTAACTTGGAAAAGAGACATTGCACATACTTTTGTAAACCAATAAATCTTTAATTAAAAAATGTTAAAAAAGGGGAAAGGGGGGAAAAAGAAAATGGAAAAGGAGGCTATAAATATGATTACCCTTGTCGTACCGGAAAGAGGGATCAAAACTGTAAATCAAAACTCTTAAGCAGGTAGGGTGTTCAAGGTTGCAACGAAGCCATTGCTAAGGACGCTGTCTATGCAAAACCATTTCAATAACTCTTATCTTGAGATTCGTGCATTGCAATTCTATGATTTTCTCTCTCTCTCTATATTTTTTTAGACCATACTTTACCTACTTCCCCATTTCCCTTGGAGGTCATACCTGTATTGGGCAGCTATTTTCACAGGTAAGGCAGTGCCATTAGGATTTCCAAGTCTCCTCTTAAGTGGCAGCTGTCCTTTTAAAAAGCCCACCTTGGAGGTCTCTAAGTGGAGGTTAGATGACCATCTGTCATGGATGCTTTAGTACTATAGGGGGGCTGGACACGATGACCCTCGGGGTCCCTTCCAACTCTACAATATTCTGTGATTCTACCTTGCTGATCCAGGAGCCTGGGCAAAAGGACTGGTGGAACAGCAGGGTAGGGTGTGTAATAGCTTCAGAGATGGTGCCCCACAGCCCAGCCTTCCCCAGCTGTGGGTCCCCCAATATTTTATTTATTTAAAATATATAGATCTCGCTGTCATGCTCTGGGCCTCAGCAAGGCAGAACTCAGGTTTCGTTCAGGAGTGAGGTTTAGGCCATGTTCACATCACACAATTAAAGTGCTATGATATCACTGTAAACATGAGCGGCTTCCCTCAAAGAAACTATAATTAGTTAAGAGTTCCTTGCCAAGAGAACTTGATTGTTAGACTATAGTTCTTTGTTATAGTTCTGTAGACTATAGTTCTTTGTGAGGGCCATAAAGGCCTCAGCAGCAGAATGATGGTTGGAAATTATATATAGATCTTTTTTAAGTCTGTATCACTTATGGGCCCTGTAATTTTTATTTTTAAATGAGTCAAATAAAAACAAATCCAAACTATTAATTTTTTTCAGCGCTCTCGGTTTCTTAGTCCGCTAGATTTTTATTTCTTTATTTAATGGCTGAATTTACCGGTAATCCTGTATTTTGAACAAGCCTAGAATAAGCATTTGCACTTATCTGGAGATAGTGTTCAACTGCGTCAAAATGGCAATAGCCAGTTTACCATTCATTCATTCATTCATTGTTTTTATCACAGATGGAGGCTAAAGTGGTGATGGCCAAATTCTCCAGAGGTTTGAATTCCAGCTGGTCCCGCCTCAGAGCTTAAAATTATGGAGACAGCTTCGCTGAAGCCATTAGATGGCTTAGTATGCAGACTGAGACCACGGCGCACCTTTCGCTATGAAGGGGATTAAATAATCGGCAGTAGGATATTGTCATCTGCAGCTTGAATTCCTACTGAAACCCGCTTAAAAGTTCCATTTCCCGGTGGGGTTGGAGGAGGAGAGAGCTCATTTTGGAGTTGGGGCCATTTTGCAATCATAGTTGATGGGTTTTTAAAAAAATTATTTAATCATTTTTTCAATACAAACAACCGCAAAAGACACTACAACAAATACCATAATAACAATAACACAATTTGACAATTCAGATTTAAATACACTGATATACCTACGACTGCAGGTATTTAACAATATTTTCCCACCTCTCTCTCCTCCCCCCACTATCATAGTTGATGTGTGTTTGTGTGTGTTTGCCTAAAGCAGGCATCCCCAACCTTCAGCCCTCCAGATGTTTTGAACTACAATTCCCATCATCCCTGACCACTGGTCCTGTTAGCTAGGGATCATGGGAGTTGTAGGCCAAAACACCTGGAGGGCCGCAGGTTGGGGATGCCTGGCCTAAAGGGTTATCTGTTGGGGGCTTTGAGGTGTTTGTCATCATAATTGACTTGTACAGGTTTGCCTATTAAGAGGTCTATGATTGTAGGGAGATATTTGTAAGACATAAGGTAAGGTCCAGTGCACTGCAGCAGTGAGAGAAGGCTGGGACGATGGGGTGTGTCCCATGCTGAATAATAATAATAATAATAATAATAATAATAATATAATAATAATAATAATAATAATAATATTTATTCATACCCCGCCCATCTGGCTGAGTTTCCCCAGCCACTCTGGGCGGCTCCCAATCAAATGTTAAAAACAGTACAGCATTAAATATTAAAAACTTCCCTACACAGGGCTGCCTTCAGATGTCTTTTAAAGATAGGATAGCTGCTTATTTCCTTCACATCTGAAGGGAGGGTGTTCCACAGGGTGGGCGCCACTACCAAGAAGGCCCTCTGCCTGGTTCCCTGTAACCTCACTTCTCGCAATGAGGGAACCGCCAGAAGGCCCTCGGCACTGGACCTCAGTGACCGGGCAGAACGATGGGGGGGGGTGAAGACGTTCCTTCAGGTATACTGGACTGAGGCCGTTTAGGGCTTTAAAGGTCAGCACCAACGCTTTGAATTGTGCTTGGAAAAGTACTGGGAGCAAATGTAGGTCTTTCAAGACTGGTGTTATGTGGTCTCGGCGGCTGTCCCGTCACCAGTCTAGCTGCCGCATTCTGGATTAATTGCAGTTTGCAGGTCACCTTCAAAGGTAGCCACACACAGAGCACATTGCAGTAGTCCAAGCGGGAGATAACTAGAGCATGCACCACTCTGGCGAGACAGTCCGTGGGCAGGTAGGGTCTTAGCCTGCGTACCAGATGGAGCTGGGAGACAATTGCCTGGACACAGAATTAACCTGCGCCTCCATGGACAGCTGTGAGTCCAAAATGACTCCCAGGCTGCACTCCTGGTCCTTCAGGGGCACAGTTACCCCATTCAGGACCAGGGAATCCCCCACACCCACCCGCCCCCTGTCCCTCAAAAACAGTACTTCTGTCTTATCAGGATTCAACCTCAATCTGTTAGCCGCCATCCATCCTCTAACCATCTCCAGGCACTCACACAGGACCTTCACCGCCTTCGCTGGTTTTGATTTAAAGGAGAGGTAGGATGCTGGACCAGAGAAGAACCCCCTCTTCGCCCTCGCCGCCTCTCCTTCATTAAAGGAGGGTCGATGCCTCGCCGACCAGACCGCAAGACCACCCCTCGCCGGTCCTTTCTTCCAGCCTAACCCTCCCACAGCGCCCAGAGGATCCACAGTTGCTCCACTCAACTTACAATCTACTGGCTGTACAACCAAATCCTATCAAATTGATAACAGCCCCCAGAACACTTTGGCTTCTAGTTCATCTTTGATGGTTTGGCCCACACCTGAGAAACCAGGAAACAGCTGCAAAGGGAGGTTGAAGGCTGGCTACTATCTCGAAGCCAGTGGAAATAAAAGGCTGAAAGAAGGAAATGCTGGTGTGTCCCTGGTAGGGTTTTTGGGTAGTTTTCTTCTTCTTCAGCTGGCAAAATGCCCAGGAAATGATGAGTGAAGCATTTTATGTTCTGCCTCAAAGATTGCAATCAGCCGCATACAATCTTGGATGGCAGCCATGGGACAGGCAAATGCAGAATTCAGAATTTCTTAGCTTCCATCTGATCCAACATGGTTAAAGCATTCTTAACTTTATCTCCTAGCCCCGGGCAGGGGACCTCAGGATCAGGATGCGGTGCCTTTCCTCAGGCCACATTGTCTTACCCAGCCTCACTCCCTACCCATGTTGCTTTGCACCCTTCACGTGTAAGTAAAAACAATCTGTTGCCCTCCACTCTCCTCACACTCCCTTTTCGTTCTGCCCTCACCTCACCCCCGCGCACTGACATGTGCCACCAGAAGCAGACTGTGCGCCTCATGCTGACCACTTCACCTCTTGTCACCTCCTCTACCCTTTCCTATTTCCACTTTTTTCCGGTGCGCAATACGCTCGTCCTCCCCTCCCTCTCCTCTTCACCTACAATCTTCTTCTGAACACAAATTAACTAGAAGCTTTTGACACTAACTTCATGCCTTCCTTGTTTCTTCCCCACTTGCCGTGCTCTTATTTTTCAGAATCAGACGCTCCCCCCTCCTGTCCTCTTCTCTCTGCACAGGCGCTGTCTGCTCCACCCACGCTCCCTCGGCTCCTGTTGCGTTGGTTTAAAAATGGTGTGTGGCGGGCAGTTAGAAGATCTGTGTATACTTCTACACGCTGACTTACCGCAGGTTTCCACATTGTGTTTCTGTTGTGATGTTTGGAGAAGATAGGTGCTGAGCCAGCTGATGGAAAATAACATACACGCGCGTATGGAGTACGGAGTGCTCCTTGCGGTCTCTTAGTGCACGCATCCCCGTGCTGGTCCTTTCATCCCTACCCGTTCTCGCTGAGAGCCCCGTGACGCACTGGACTGTCCATGTGGGGACTCTTACGCAATGCGTAACTCCTTCTCTTAACCTGCGTGGTGTGTTTGGAGCATTACAGCACTATTCGTAGTTCTACCGCGATTCTTCCTACACCACACACATTTGTATTGAATGTATCAGCCGCTACCCCCCATATACTCGTAAATATGTATCATTTGACCAGGCACTTTTCTGTCGAAATAATCTCCACGTACGTGAGGACGTTCCACTCTTTTTGGGTGTGACAGAGCTCGCATGTCGCAGCGCTCGAACGTTTTTGGGTCTCCTTTAATTCTGACCCCTCCAATTTTCTCCAATTAAAACTTCCCATCAGCTCGCAAGCTACGAGTACACAGCACAGTATCTGAAGACGGCACCAGTGGGGGGAACAGTAGCCTGGCAGGAGGATAGTTCATTCTCCACCAGGAATGCTCAAGAAAGCGGTTTTTTGCCCGTAGTGAGCATGCTCGCAAACTGGAAGTGGTGTCAGGTTTGGTTAACGTCTTTCTTGGAAGCCAATATGCTGGCAGGCGGGCTGTGTGCCATGGCTGTCCTAAAGTAGCTCCCATGCAGGGAAGCTCCCTGTCAGTCGATAAGAACAGTTTCAGTGTGTGCACGCAAAGGGACCCATCTCCCAGAGACGAAAATTAGGCGTTTTGGTAAATACCCGTGAAATCAAATCCCCGCAACAGGGTTGAGCTCCTGATTGCTCAGTCACCATGCTCCGACCAACTAGCATTTCGAAAGCACGTCTCTCACAAGTGCAAGCTAGATCCAATACGGTACACTCTGGGCGGCAAAGCGTATTCAATGTGGCGTTTCTGTGTGCTGCTCTGGTTTGCCACAAACGGCTATAGTCCTGTTGGCGCACATCGACCCGGACGCCTGTCATGCCGGCTCCCCTCGGCCAATGGGCAAGCCATGAGCGCTGCACCAGAGTCGGCCACGAGTCTGCTGGGACCTTATCGGTCAGTCCCTCTACCTTTACTGACCCGTATACAGAACAACGAAAAAGCTCAACGATTGCCCAACCTTTGTTACGACCTGCGCTACTGCCCTTTCTCTGCAGCCCTGATTTGCGCAACTTAAAGCCCTTTAGGCTCTTCTGCCCTGGGCCCTGCATTTTTGCTGTTATATCCAGAAGAGGTGGCTTTGCTAAAATACCGTTCGTGCATAAAGCGCTGTATTGCTTCCTGCTGTTAGAAAATCATGGAGACGCAGCGGACGAGCCGGCCATACAGAAGATAGTCTACGAACCGAACTCCTCTTCGGCAAGGTCGGCTATAAACAGCAGCAATAATGAGTGGTTGCTGACTGCAACGGCTATGTGATAAGCGATTGTGAGATACGCGTTCCTTCGGCTCGAAGCTCAGCGGTCGTCATATATGTGGCGAGGTGTTGAGTGTGGCCAGAGTACTCTCTCGTGGACAAATGTGTGCACGGGCCGCATCAGTCGGTCGCTCTCCTCACCGCGCGCGCCTTTACGGGGGCTGCCAACGGTCGTAACAACATCTTTTCCGTCCCGCCATAGCAGCTACTGGGTGAATAACCCTAGACCTTTCCCAGAATTGAAAGGTGTGCCAATCCCTTACCCTAAATAGAGTTGGGCCGTATCGGCTGCTAGTTCTGTAAAGGTCTGTGGCCGCTTGATTCCATCGATCGGACCATTACTGTTTTTGTTGTCCCGTCGTGTCTCTCCTACAATTTGAAAGCCTTCCCTTTGCTTCCCTCCCATATTTCACTGCGGAACTTGTCACCGTTTCTTGTGGGAGGGGAGTAACCACCCACTAAAAAGTGTTCCGCGGGATCTTATTTGGGGACCGAAGGCCATACTATGACTGTGTCCTGCGAGAGTCACAAGACCCAGAAGCTGGTCTCCGATAGCGCGAAGGTCCATGTGATATTCCGTCGTCATGAGATCATCTCTGCGTCTGCATTCGCTCGCAACGGATGCTGACCAATGGCTATCTTCCTCGTGAGATCACTCAATGGGCTATCCCATAGCACGTTAGGCGAAAGATGCTTATAGGGCCGGGGCAATCTCGGCCCCAATCACCTTCTAAATATCTGTCATGGGAATCAAGCATGTTGTTATTTACATAAGTAGAACTGTTGCTCCTTTTTATTTAAGAATGCTCTCTCCTCGGTTATTGTAGGGGCCTATGCCTTGTGTTTTTACATGGTAGAAGGTGTGCTTTTATTTTAAAAATGCACCTCTGGGTTCATTGTGGGCATAGGGATTATTCAGTTCTTTCCCCCCCCCCCTTTTCCCAAGAATAATCTGGCATCTCCACGCTGCCGGAGTCGCCTAGGGGACAGCGAGACCGGCCCCCTGACTGGAACAAGTTTGCTGACCTCTCCATCGCACATCTGATCACGTGCTTTTCGTGGCTTGCTTGGGCAATACCACTGCCTCTGCTACCAAATGGACAGAGCTTCCAGATAGTGGCGTCTTCTTAGACCACACAACACGCTATTTGGTTTTGTGTATTTGACGCTGCAGCTGTTGTCTGAATATGGAACCTTCTCCATCTCTGAGGAGAGACCCACTCTGAAGTGCACTCCTGCCCGAGCCCCTTGCTTAGCGTCGTTTAGTGTTCTCGGCTCTCTCATGCATTTACGCCTAGGGTCGGTGGATTTGGCTGCGTTTGGTGCGCGACTCCATGCAGTAATCGTGTGTGTTGGTGATCCCGTGGTAGCCGTGGGTAGCTGTGCCTATGCCTCTGCAAATGATGACCAAATCTTTGAAGTTTTGGGATTGACAGCTGGTCCTCTTTGCAGGGTCTGTCATACTTGAGTAAAGGGAAAGGGAATGAGGGCTACTGCAAAGCTTCTTTGTTCAAGGAGGATTAGCCGTTGTGTGGGCGCAACGGCCACAACCGGAGCGGTCCGAGTTTATTTTTTGAGGGTATATATGGTTTATCTCCGCTCCTTATCCTTCCTTTCTTGAATCTGAGTGCCCTGGATTTTTCGAGGGACGGGAAAGAGCTTGGGAGTTTGTTGTCAGGGAAGAAGAGAGTGATGGAGACTGCATCTTTTCAATTCAAAACAGGCCTTTTATCTTTCCTAATCTGATGAAGCGGCGGTCCTGAGGCGTTCCCTCATGGCCTGGCAAAGCGTGGAAGCCTGATCTTGGAAGGTCCCCTCAAGGCTGAAGAGAGCAAAATGGGATATTACGGGTAGCTTATATCAGAGAAGTGGAGGAACCCAGCAGTGAGGACTGATTGGTTTTGTATATATTTAAAGCACACACACAGAGTGCTAAGAATTCTAGGAACGGACAGTTCTCTGTCTAGGATTAGCTCAGTCGGTAGAGTCATAAATAATTTTTTGTGTTGTTTAGTGTTAGTCGTGTCCGACTGGTTTCGTGACCCTCACTGGACAGAGTGTTTATGCCCATGGCCACACCAATCAGTGCTCCTCACATTTATGTCTCCTTATCTTTCCTTCTTGTATCAATACTTTGCTTGTATGTTTACTCTAAGATAATGGCGAAGTCTCGCGCAGGTTCATATATCAATTAAGTGCTGTGACAGATTTGGCCTTCAATCTACCTAATGTG